GCAAAATCCACTCCAAGCCACTCCATTCGGATTATCCGCGCCGCTGCGGATCCTGCGTGTATAATCCGCAGCCGCTTCGGATTCTGGCCCATTGGATCCGAATCCGCGCCATTGCGGATTCGGCGCGGATTGGCGCGGATTTTGCGGCTTCGCTGTGCCACTCTACTCAGAAGTCACCACAGACCTCCAATCTCTTGCAGACCATGAACCCATCCTAACAACCATCACATGGTGCATGAATAACCAACCCTGGGATACTCCGCCTTTCCGCTGGTCTACCCACAACGACAAGTCATTCCAGGAGACAATACAAGGGGAGAGAAGGCAGGTGGACAGAGTAGCCTCTACTCTTCCCCCTTGCCCCTCTCCCTCCCAACTAGATGAGCTCGCACTTAGCATCACCCAGGCGATCTCCACCTCTCTGGAGGCCTCGACCAAATGAGTATATCCCCGGCCCTGCAGCCACAAATGGTGGAACCAGCATTGTTCCAGAGTAGTCAAGACACTCTGCAGGGTCACACAAGGCCCAACATCCACATCAGAGGACATCAGGGAAGCTAAACAGGTCCTCCACCGTGTTGTCCAGTACAGCAAACGCCACTTCTGGCATTCAAAAGTTGATGAATTTGAAGAACCCAAGGATGTTTTCAATGCGGTAAAGTGGAACAGAACTGAAGGAATTTTACCTATCTCCCCTTTAAAAGAAGGAGACCGGCTCCATTCCTCTACAGATGACAAAGCAAACTACTTGGTCTGGGCACTTTTGCAAAAGGCCTCATGCTCAGAGGATGTGGAGGTCAATCTGGAGCCTATCAATGATCCCAAACTGCCTTTCCATGCCATCACAGAGAAAGAGATCTACACTGCAGTTGCCAAACCCAAGAACAGCACCCCAGGAAATGACGGTGTGACCACCTCTATCCTTAGGAAGGCATGGCCGTTCTTGGGACCAGCCATTTCACTCCTATACCGAAGCTGCCTGACCTCCATGATGACATGGGATGTCAAAGGCGCATTTGACGCAGTCCTATCTGGCAGGCTGATACAACACCTCAGGGACCAAGGGTGGCCCTCCACAGTGCTACACTGGGTGGCAAGCTTTACCCAAGGCCGAACAGCAACCATAAGGCTGGATGGGTCCGGCCACCAGTCAGTGACAGACATCCTCTGCACAAAGGCAGGTTCCAATACCTACGCAAAGTGGCTGGGAAAATCGCATTTCTATACAGACATCTGCCGACGCCATTAGGCCATAAAGTCTCAACAAACCATCCAGGCATACCTCTGGTCTCCCTCCCTTTCTCTTCCCTTTATTCTCCCCCCTTTCTTGTATCTCTTTATTCTTCCTTGTCCGCGTTCTTGCTTTTCCATTCCATACCAATTTGTCTGATTTGCTGGTTGACAGCTATGAAAACCCAAGCAGCCCCCCGCGCGGGGGGCTACCTGTATTTAGATGATAGATGGTAGTTTAGCTAGGTGACAGGCAGTTCCGATCTGTCCGTCGTATGTCCCGCACCGGGACCAGGGCTTGTCCGCTTCCGAGGTTCCCAATCCAAGGATGCGTGGAAAGACCCGAACCTCGACGTAAAATAGATACACACACACACACACACACTACTACTAGCACTTGTATGCCCAAGTACCCGCAGCAAAGCAGTGGCGTCCAAGAGAAATTCCGGTGCGTATAGGTACACATATATATTGCGAAGGATACGACCAGATCCCATACTACTGTTCAAGTTGGAAAATTGGTATTACCCGAAAACCCATTTTTCGTTATGTTTAATAAGCTAGACTAAGCTACGATGTAAGGTAGTCATGTAGTGATATCGTGAAACATTATCATGGAAGACGCCTGGAAGAGACATTCGCTTTTACACTCCCCGAAACTAGACCTCCAATTCCAAGCTTTTGAACTGCGTGGTAAACGTCTTCCGAACCCACTCCATATAGGTCTTCCACTTGTGGCTCTCACCCGTGATCTCAGCGTTCGGGAACGCCTTGCTGATATCCCGCGTGATCTTGAGGACACCCATGGATGCTTCTTGAGCTTTTTCGATCTCCTGCTTGACAGCGTTGTCCTTGGGCTTGAAAGAGAGGACGGCAGTGTAGCGCTCCGATAGCGGGTCGAGATAGCGTTGTGTCTCCTCTGGTGCGAGAGGGATAAGCTTAGAGGTCATCAGGTTGCAGATGGTGCGGATGTCTTGTTCGTCTTCGATTCCAACGAGAATGCGGTCGTAGAATTCCGAGACGTGGGCGCGGGAGAAGGCGGTGTCGAGAGAGGCATAGAGGGTTTCATAGGCGCTCTGTTCACAGTTAGCTGTCTATCCAGAGGACTTAATTATTCTGAGGATTGTACTGACCTTCCGCAGCTCAAGACCGTCGTCAACCTTATGCTTGAATGGGCCCATCTGGACCTGGCGGATGAGTTCCGGCTTGACATGAGTGTCACCAAAGACAGCCGGGAGCAGTTCGTTAAGATGAGGAAGAATAATGTTTATCTTGTTGTGAATTGCAGAGTTGAGGGTCGTCAGGGCCAGACGGTGGTTGCCCAGATCACGGTCGCTGAGCATGTTGACCAACAGCGGCACGATCAACGGTCTCAAAACGTCACTGTAGGTATCGCTCGAGTCCGACAGAGTGTAGCGGAAAGCGGAAATGACAACTCCACGGATCGTCGGGTCCTTATTAGAGAGATATTCCTGGATTACGGTTAGTGACTGGACTCCTGCAGAGAGGTGACGAATAACATACCTGGAAATGAGGGATGTAGGCGACCGGATCGATCAATGCCAGTCGCCCGACACATTCCGCCCCAATAGCACGGTTGTCCTCTTCCTCCGAGACAACAAGAAGTGCCTGCCACAGCTTCATTGCCGAAGGAGCAACGTCGGGACGCACGATTTCAGGGTGGAGAAGCAACTCTTTCACGGAGTGAAGTAGCAAATAGCTTTGTTGGCTGGACTTGGACAATCCACCCATGACGATGGGCAGATAGGCCTTGACGTTGCCTGCTGCTGCATTACCAAGAGCAGTAGCAGCAGCCAAACGAACTTTGTCTGACTTGGAATTGAAATGAGTGATGAACAAGTCGGGAGTCAACGAGCACTTGGCGCCCATGCGAAGTCCGATTTCTCCGAGAATGGCGAGAGCAAGACACTTGCGTTGCGCATCCTGGGAGGTTTGCAGTTCTGTCAGGAAATCCTCCATCTTGACACCCAATTTTGAGCCACCGTGCACCAAAAGGGTGCCAATCGCCCTGCCGACAACGGACGTGTCACCGTTAATCCCAACATCCCGCAAAAGCTTTTTCATGAGCTCTGCGCCAGCACCTTCCTCGCCAATAACCTTGACCAGAAGCAGCAATGCCCTAAGGACAGTACCAACAAGCGAATGGACGACAATCGAACAGACGGCCGAGACCAGACCGTCATCGACCAAGAGCTTAGCATTTCCTGGAACGAGTTTCGCCAGGATGATAAGAGAGGGGGTGAGGAGATGGAAGTCCTCGGTGCTGATGAGTGGCAAAAGACACCCCTCCAATTCCTTCATGGTCTTCTGGTCCAAGTGAGCCCTGGTCTTGGAATTCATAGCCAGACTGCGGAGTGCCTCCAAGCTAGCGCCCCGGAGAGAGCGGTCTGATTTGCGTAGTTGCGCACTGAGTTCCAGTGCTACTTCATTTACCCACGACGCAGAGACATCCGTCTCACGGCTGCACAAGACCGCGACATCATCAACAGCGCGAACGGCGGAAAGCCGGGTGGTCTCATTCCTGAGACGATCCACCAGAATAGAGAGACCATGAGATCGTCTATCAGAAGCGAGGAAAGTGGATCCTCTTTCTCCAGCGGTTCGTGCTAGGAGAACACCAAAGACGTGGATAGCACGCTGACGGACTTCAAGGTCGGCACTCGTGTTAGTTATACGGGCAAGCACTACGTCGTACAGCTTCTCCAACTGAGGTGCAACGTTTTGAGCGTTTGCTGAAATACGAGGTGGTGTAAGAGCCTTCACGATATGTTCGACAGCTCCAAGAGCTTCGCTGCTGACCTTATAGTTTCGCTCATCAACCGCTCCAATCACACCAGGAATCAGTGCAAGGAGGAAAGACAAAAGAGAATCTGAAGTATGCGTCTCAGCAATCGCAGCAATGAGACCGAGGGTTTCGATATGGAGTGTTCCTGCGCTGACTGCAGTGCCGGACGGTGCTGCTGAACTTCCAGAGAGGGAAGATGTCTTGAGCGCATCCACAATAGGCCCTTCAATCTGCTGGAGATGTTCTGCCAACCCGCCATAACGGACGAGCGCCAGGCTTTTCAATAGAATCACGATTGCTTGCTTCAGGGGCACCGAGGCTTGCTTCCACATCTTCACGACATTCTGCACAATTGTCGGAACCGACCGTGCCAGATCGGCCTGTGGACCGGACTCTGGAGTTGATGGATTGATGACTGGCGAATCGACAGCTGACGGGGTGCCAATGTTCGGGTCAAATCCAATACCGCTGGCATCGCTGTCCTGGCGTCTTCTCTTCCGAGAGTTCTTGGAACCGCCGGCTGAATCGAACCCACTCGACGTGACGATGACAGCCCCTTCGCTGGTCTTTCGAATAAGTGCTGTCATAGTGGAGATGACTTCTAGCTTGACGCTCTCTTCTCTTTCTTTATTGAAGCGAGCAATGAGAGCAGGCCCAATCTGCTGGTATAAGGATGCATCGTCCAGTGCCTTTCCTCTACCGTACGTCGAGATGACGCTGTAGAGGAGTTTAGCAGCACATCGCCGGACTTTCCAGCTCATATCATCCACATCGCTATATCCTCCCTCTTCCTCGAAATCCTCAAACTCGTCATCGTCTTCGAGATCAAGCTCTGCGTCGGAGCCATCGTCCCGGGTACCGCCCATCTCTTCGTCCTCTTCATTGTCTGCCACGTTGGGATCGTACTTGAGAAATCTAAGGGCGGAGGTGATGGTATTCGAGAGGTATGGCTGCATCTGTTGACTGCAGGAGCTGATCAGAGCTTCCAGCGTCACTAGTGTTGTCTCGCGGAGCTCGTCTGCTTGGGGATCGTGCTCGTCATCTTGGGAGTAGACCGACATTGCGTCGTTGGACATTTCGACAGTTGATGCCCGAGCTCTGGTAGAGACAGTCGAAGTGAATAGACGAAAAACACAGGGCCGTAGTAGCAAACAACGAGCTGGCTGGAAAGAAGCTCTGGCGCTTCCGTCACTTGAATAAGGCCCCGCGCTAGTCCAAAATGGGAAATCAGACACCGGAACACAACGGCCGATTTTCCGGTCTTGGCATCAAACAGAAAAGAAAGTATTAAAAGTAGGATTGGATGGACCAATTGATCACTGCAGGAAATCAAACAGATCGAGGGACGAAGACGCCGATTGAGACTGTTGCTTAGAGGCCAGAAATGCCTGTAGTCCTCCCTGTTTCCGTGCTTTGGCTCGTTTCTTGCTGCTGGCGTTCTCCGCTGTCTTGCTGGTTGGCTCAGAAGCAGACTGTTCGGAGACCGTCTTGTCTCTTGAAGGTGCTGTAGTCGAGATGGATGCTTCTACTGTCGTAGTCGTAGGTTTAGGTGGCACCTTGGAACGAACATGTTCTTTTCGAACCGGCTTAACTGTCCGTCGATGACAGCGGAGGCACTTGTAGATTGTAGCCCCGTCCGTAGAGACTCCAGTACGCTTTGATTTCTTTTTCTTGATCTGGATAGTTTTGCTCGTCTCGGGGCTCCTGATGGTACCACAAGCACCACAGCAGTATTCCTGGTGGCGCTGATTCAATGACTTGAAATCGTTGTGCAGAATGTGGTTATGGCCAGCCAACAGATGAGCCGCGGTCGAAGGGCTCGAACTGCTCAGAGAAGAGGCTGAATCTTTGAGATGATTCAGCTGAGATGTGTATTCACTGACAGGCATTGTGTATTGTTTGTTTGTTTTTATAGAGAAAAGATATAAAAATAGTAGTGCTTTTCAATCGCGTAGTTTTTGTGTAGGAGAAGTGAAGGAAAAGCGGCCCAGACAGTCAGCGGATTCCCCCAATTCCTCTTTCTCTCTCTACCCTCTCTTCTTCTTCTCTTTCCATCTCCCACAATCCTCTACTTTTCCTTTTCCTTTTCCTTTTCTCTCTTTTTCTTTTATCTTATTTTATTTCCTCTTCCTGTCTCTTGGGCCCATCGACGAACCATCTCTCGTTATATGGTTTCTTTGCCTTGTTTGAGCTCCGCGCGGCCTTACTTCGTTCTCCAGCTCTTACCAGTCGGTCTTTGGGCCCTACGCTGGTTTTTCCATCCTTCCTCGAGTCTTCAAAAGCACGCTTGCGAAGCCAGGACGTTCTCGTTCTGAGAATTTCAAAGAACTTCGCAAAATGGAGGTGCCCGACTCGAATTCTCCCTCTGTCAGGGTGGCTTTTGAAGGATGCGTGAGTGATTATTTGATGCTGTTAATTCTGTTCCTTTCTACAATACTGACTGAGTCTTTAGGGACACGGCTGTCTGCATGAGATCTATGCCTCTGTCGGACGATCTGCTACTCTTAAGGGATGGGATGATGTCGATTTGGTCGTAATTGGAGGTGACTTTCAGGCAAGTCTTTCGCTCTTTTCCCTCTGTCACTCAGTTCTTTCATGTCTAACTCTTGAATGCAGGCTGTACGCAATTCCAATGACTTGGCCTGTATGGCTGTTCCAATCAAATACCGAGAAATTGGAGACTTCCACGAGTACTACAGCGGAAAGCGAACCGCTCCATACCTGACCATCTTCATAGGTGGCAATCATGAAGCGAGTAACCATCTATCAGAGCTCTACTATGGTGGCTGGGTGGCTCCCAACATCTATTACATGGGTGCTGCCAACGTCCTTCGCTTTGGTCCTCTACGTATTGCTGGCCTCTCAGGCATTTTCAAAGGCTACGACTACAGAAAGCCTCACTTTGAGAGACTTCCTTACAGCGACGAGGAGAAACGCAGCATATTCCATGTGCGTGAGCTGGATGTCCGCAAGCTTCTGCAGATCCGTACGCAGACTGATCTTGGTCTGTCCCACGACTGGCCCAGAGGCATCGAGTATTCTGGTGATTATGAGAGGCTTTTTCGCATAAAGAAAGACTTCCGCCACGATTCAGAGCGAGGTTACCTGGGTAGCCCGGCGGCAAAGAACGTTCTCGACCGTCTGCGTCCCGCCCATTGGTTTTCTGCACATTACCACATCAAGTTTACAGGTTCCATTCAGCATGGCCAGTACGCTATTCCCTTTGGGCACAAGGTGCAATTAACATCTCAACGTGACCCTCTTCCGCCTCAGAAGCTCCCTTACATGTTTGGCATGGACGGCGCCTCAGTTTCCCGAGGCTTGAATGATTTCATCGAAGGAGGTTCACCTGAGCCAGAAGGGAGACAGCCTGAACCCGAAGAAAAGCAGCCTGAACCCGAAGGAAAGCATGAACCCGAAGAAGGAAAGCACGAACCAGAGGGAAACCAGTCATCTTCAGCTCATACTGGTAATGAGGTTACGAACACCGAGGCTACTACGCTTAGTTCCGAAACGTCCACCTTGAATCCTGAAGCGACGGCCTTCAATCCCAGTTCAGACGAAAAGCCATCCGATGTAGTGGCTCAGCAGACTCCAGAGCACGGCAGTCTGGCGGCAATCTCTACTCGGGGCTCAGGCAAGAATCAGAATGACACATCCCAACAGGGTCTCGGCGACACCACGAACCGGATTTCAGCGTGGAAGAATTTCCACAATGTAGCGGCCACCCAGGAAGCCGAGGAGAACTCTCGTTTCTTGTTGGAACAGAACAAAACCCAAGAAGCAGTTCGCAACATACAACACAATCTGATATGGCGCCAGGTTGACATCGATCACGACGGGACAAGACGGAGGCTAGGTATGGAGGGATCTGAGTCTGGAGATGGCCCTGAGAACAAAAAGCAGAAAATCAGCCATGATGCCAATACCGTGAAGAACGCAGACGAGATTGACCTGGATCTCAGTGATTCTGACCAGGAGGATCAAGCAAAGATTGCACCCAGTGTTGAGACCAAGAAACCTGCGCAGATCTCGGAGAACACTGGGAAATCCGGAGTGGTGTCTCAAGACATCCGAAACCAACTTCCTGCCAGCTTCGCTCGTTCTGCGCAGATCTCGGAGAACACTGGAAAACCCGGAGTGGTATCTCAAGACATCCGAAACCAACTTCCTGCCAGCTTTGCTCGTCCTGTGCCTGCTTCACAACCTGCTCAGGACATTCCCTTCAACGAGCCTTTACCAGAAGGTATAACAAACACGACCACTCAGTTCCTCGCTCTAGACAAGTGCACGCCTCGCCGCGAGTTCCTTCAACTTCTGGAGCTCCCACCAATTTCTGAACAGGATGGCGTGCAATCCCGGCGTCCTTACCGCTTGCAGTATGACAAAGAGTGGCTAGCGATTCTTCGTGTTTTTTCGAACGACCTTCAGTTGGGCGATCCCAATGCTAGCCCCTCTCCCGACAAAGGAGACGCCGTGTACAAGCCCCAAATCATCGAGGAGGAGAAATGGATAGAAGAGAATGTGGTTAAGCCCGGCAAACTAGATGTTCCGGAGAATTTCACCATCATCGCTCCAGTTTATGACCCATCGGTCCCTATCACGACTCAGCAAATGCCGCTAGATTATAATAACCCTCAAACGGCCCAGTTTTGCGAACTCATTGGAATTGAGAATAAATTCCATGTTAGCGAAGAAGATCGTCAGGCGCGTGCCGCAGCCGGTCCACGGCCGGATCATTCCAGCAGAGGCGGTGGTGGATCTATGCGACGCGGGTTTGGCCACGGCCGTGGACATGGAGGTGGTCGCGGCCGCGGAAACCGTCGGTACTGATGCGATAAAGCGTTTGCGACGCGTCTCCAGCTGTTCACCTTGTTTACCATTTCATCGGATATGTTGTTCCGTATGAGCTCTTCAAGTCGATTCATGCAGGCAAACCGGATGCGTGGATTTGCGGAGATACTCTACTTTACGAAGGTCGTGACGGATAGTTGTTTGATCATGGCGGTGTATCTATATCTTTCTCAGTGTTCAATTCTGGGTTGCCATAGGATTGCGGTTATGGGATGGGATGTTCTTTACTTTTAATCACATATGCACTAAATCTAGCATGACTAATAATATGACAAAAATAGGTGCAAGATACACTTGCATACTCAATCCACTCGTAACGAGTAGTTCTGATCCAACGTAGACCATAAAAGCGTCCTACTCAATCTCCTCGATTCTTGGCCGCACACTCCTACCAGCCAAAGGATCAACACTCAACCCAGCAATCCTGTCACCCAACTCAAATCTCGGCTCATTTTCCTCCTCATCTCGGCCCCGTGCCCCAATACCCCACAGCAAAGACTTATCCGTCCAAGCCTCAAGACTCTCAATCAGAACCCGAATGTGGCCCCGAACAATACTATCCGTCTCATGGCCCTCCATAAAATGCAACGTCCGGAGCATACGTGGCAGATTCCTGATAGAGCCCCTACCAGGATAATTAGTACCCTGGGAAAGATCCTCCGAGAGCGAGAAGCCAAAGTCAAGTCCCGTGCTTCCGCGTGTTTCGCGTGCTGTGTCGAGGGCCTTGAGGATATCAAGTAGAAGAACCACGCTTGCACGACGGAGGATCGCGGATTCGGCATCTGGCTCTAACGTAAGAGTCGCGAGAGCGAGATCCACAGCTGACGATGCAATTGCTGAACCCAAGCCTGCGAGATTTGTCTGCACGGCGGATGCGAGGATGGATAAAGCTGAAGCGCGGACGCGGAGGTCGTCTGGTTCTTCATCTGACTTGGAACCTTCAGCCCAGGCGGAGATGATATTTGCAGCGTGAGCGTTTTGTTCGGGTGTTTCGGTGTCTTCATCTTCATCCTCGTGCTCTTGGAGATGTTTTCCTAATTCTTCCGTGATCGAGGCAGAAGTGATGTTCCAACCAGGTGGCATGGCATTTTCCTTCTCCTTTCGACGAGCTTCACGTTCTTGCTGTCGTTTTTCCCTCTCGAGTTGTTCTCTGCGCGCCTTTTGCGCTTGCGGTTTGTGGCCTCGTCGTCCTGCAACGGATATCATGGCTTCACCTAGTATCTTGGCCGTCTCGCCTGTAAGTGCTTCTCCGAGATTCTGCACGGTACGAAGTAGCGATTCACCGATTTTCAGCCGTTGGTCGAGAGTCGCGGTCTCAGAGTTGTCCGTGTATCGATTGACGAGTGTTTTGACGACGGTACGCGGGTGTCGCGAAGCGAGGGTTCCGATTAGCTTTATCGCGTTTAGGTAGATGAAGTCTTCGTTGGCTGCTGTTTCGGATTCATTTGTTATGATTGATAGGAGGAGGGTCAGGGTGGATGGGATATCGAGGACTGGGGAGGATTTCTTGATCAGGTTAGATAGAAGTGAGAAGCCTTCTGCTTGGACTGGTGGGAGGTCGGAGGTGAGGTTTGTTAGAGCTTGACGGTGGGTGTCGAGGTCGGACACATTTGGCGATGTTTGTTTTGCTCCGATGTGTTCTGGGGATGTTAGGTGGATCTCGAGTAGCATGGAGGATGTCGTTGCTGGTTTTGTGAGCGATGATGGTAGGTGTGGGACTAGTAGGTCTAGTTGTGTTTTGATGCTTTCCAGAACTGGTCGGGTTTCGTTTGAGACTGCGAATTCTGGGGAAGCGAGGACGGTAGAAAGTAGACTGAATGCTGTGGATAAGGACTCAGTCGAGTCATTTTCGGTTGAAGATTCTGGTTTTTCTTCATCGTCTTTGTTGACAATGCTGGCCAGCGATGCAAGAGACGCATTCTTCGTTTTTGTCCGTGTAGACGCTAGACCGGATTCGCCATCGATGATATGTTTAATAAGCTCGAGGACGCGAAGAGGACGACGGGAGAGGGTATCCTTGAAGTTATCCAGCAGCTTTTCTGCCAATTTCGCGCTGATTAGCTTCTGAAGGATGGCTTCTGATTCATCTTTCTCAGAAGGGAGCTGCAATTGATCCAGTGGACGCTGTGCAGATGAGTCCTTGACAAGCCAATTCTCACTCACGCACAGAAAAATATCCCCTGTTCGCTCTTCGCTACTTGGATCGGATCCTAGTAACCTAACAAACATCTCGATGCGGGATTGCAGCGAGTCCACGAGTTTGATGACGTTGAATTGATCCTTGTGAGAAGGATCGCGCTTTTTCAATGATACCTGGCCTTTGGCATCCACTCCGTATGTCCACGTAGGGCCTCCGTTCCATAGGAAATGGTCAACGAGTTTCTTTAGCGGTTGCACTCCTACAGACACACCGAAATATGTCTGCAGCAAGGCCATGACACTTCCATGGAGAGTGGTTTGTTGCTGTTCTTTGGCGAAAGAGGCTAATCCCCAGAGCGGGACAAGTATAGGATACACGAGTCTCTTCACAAGTCCTGGGTTTGGATGTTGGAGTGTCAGGGTCTTCAGCCTGTCGATAGCAAGATGCAGCGTGAACCCATCAGTGAGTTCCTTTCCTGAAGAAGCATTACTTGCATCGCCAGAAGTGGTCAACCATCGTCTAGCAGAAGCATCGCGTTCTGCGGTGAGAGCTTTAAAGATCGGTTCCACGAATATCATGTGTCCTATCTTCCCGGGTGCCCCGTACGCCCGTTTTCCCAAAATCCCACTGCCCACGACATATGATGCGGTCTTTTTCAGATCCGGGTCATCTCCATCAAGCAACGACAAAAGCTGAGGCGCAATCGCAGAAAGGTAAGCCACCGGGTCCATGTCTTGCGGTACAGAAGATAGTAGCCGTGAGACGTGCATAATAGCCTGCACGGTGAAATGCGGTCCGTTGGATGCTTGATCCTGCGCTTCACGACCCAGCGAAGGCGCGAATTGGGACGTGACAAAAAGGATAGTTTGCAGGACTCCCTCATGACGCAGAGGGAGGCGGGATATATAGCCGGAGATTTGGGCCTTGAACCACGGAGTAGTTTCAGACTGGAGGAAGGCTGATAACGTTGACAAGAGGACGGAGCTCGGGGTACTGTAATTTCTCAGCATGTGCAATAATTTAAGATCTACGATCAGAACATACTCTTCAATGACCCGGGAAGCAGCATTCTGGTAATGATCCCTCCTCTCGGCAGATATACTCTTCGAATTGAAGGCTAAATCTAACGACCCGCTGATGATGTCGCTTAGAATCCGGCCACGCACAACAGGCTGTATGCTAGGCCTTGTATCCAGAATAATGCCAGACAACGTCAGCAGGATACGATCTAACAGCAGTTCATCATGAGGTTTGCCACTTGAAGGCGCGTCAGACTGTTTGGCAATAACCCCAGCGGGCAGAACAGAGATCACTCTCTGCTGCAAAGGTATTCCCACTCCGGTTGATAGTGAAGGGTAAATACCCTCTAGAGAGACGAGATCCAGTAGCGCATGGAGAATCCGGCGTCGCTTTGCATCTTCCAGGGCAACATCTTCTGTATCGGGGCTGACTTGTGATTGTTCTTCCTCTGCTGTGAAGGCCGCATGGATGCGTGAAAGAAAGTCTAATGCCTTTCCGATAACAGTGGCCCTCACAGAATCATCTGAAGCTGGTTCCAGTAGATTGCTGTTGAGTATATCCAGAAGAGAGGTTCCACGGGATTTCTGAATTTCCTCTTATGTTAGTTAGCTCTAGTTCAAATTTATGATATTGAAATCCTGCATGCCTCTTTGAAGAACCGGATTCAAAAACCCGCTGGCGGCGGCGAACGCCTGTTTAGTCCGTATAAGATCTCCCATTATTAAAGACAGGTCGAATATACTCCAAAGACAGTCGTCTATCGAGCAAATATCGGGCGTTGAGGCGATATGCATCACGTGATATATACCATGCATAAGTTTTGGCATTTCCAGCCACCGCCTTTAAATTTGCACTAACCAAATCAGACCTTTGGCCAATCACGTGCCAGCGCGTCGCGTCGTATCAACTCCTGTCCTTCAGCGATTTCTCTCCTTCTCATCACCAACAACTGCGATATCGATCCCTCTCAAACGGCGTTGCGAGTGACAAGACGAGCTATCATTTCGAATCGTCGGTCATTACGGTTTCTGTTTTTTTTTTTTTTTATGCCTTATCGAACCCAATTTCTACGATGACGTACGGTTGTGTTTCCCCGTTCATTCCTTCCATCGCTTGGTCGCAACTCTCTGCTTGCAGCTGCAGGCGCACTTGTACAGAACCTGCCCCCCACATAGCTTTCCAATTCTCATCCTACGCTTTTCCAAGCCCTTCAAAAGTACTCGTGTCTCTACGATGCCATCTGGTACCGTGCGATAAGAGCTGCCTAGGAGGTGGTTGAGAATTGGGAACCTAACCCTAATACGCTGGATCGCGTCGCTGCTTCGGCGGCAGTTTCACGGTTTGCGCATGCCGGATACTCTGACTAGTTGAATCGTTCTGGCTAGGAGCGAGGAGACGAAAAGGTATCTGATGTCCAGAGCCTCAGGGCATTGAAAGACGGTTTACTATGCGTTCTAAGTTCCCAGAAGGGGCACGCGTCGGTTTACTAATGCTGGACGGAGCATGCTGGTCGCAATGGGATGTCCGTTCTATGCCTGAGTTAGGAACTCCTGGAGACAGAGCAGGTGGAACATGCCGGGCACCTCTTGTTTTGGAGGTTGTCTTTGGGAGCTTTTTGCGACAGTGCAGTGATTGGTTACGACTGCAGTTTTTCATTTGTGACAACGGTTCATTCTGCGTTTTGCAAACACTGTTCACCATGAATGCAACAATTCTGTCTTGACAGTTGCCCACAAACGGCCAGGAAGTCAGGACGTCGAAGATCCACTCGTCGGAATCAACTGGTTCTTTGACAGTGCCCAGGCGCTGCTCAGAAAGCTTCGTTGTCGCGAGGTCTTTTGTACTTCTGAACCGAATGGTCCTTTGATCGGTTATTACTCCCTGAGTGATGCCGTCAAAGAATTTTGGCTTGTTGCCGTATTCCGGATGGTGTTCAATTTGTGAAACCAGAAATGTCTCGTGTCATGCGGCTACTATCCCTATTTCAACTATTGGCTGTCAGCTGTCCCGTGCATGTTCCCAACCTCGAGATATCTGGGTATCTTGTACCTGTTCTCCACCTCCTGGGTCCGGCTCTTGTGGCTAGGCGACCTCGAATCGCGGCATCAGCCATAGATTCGTGCTTCGAGAGGAGATCCCGATCGACCGTGTTAACCATCTCTTTGCAATGTAGGTTGCAAATAGATTGATGGGCGGCGATAAAATGACTGAACTTGTGTTTCGTCACCTCCCTCCGGGGAGAAGGAAGCGGTTTTTGTGGATGTTCTTTGTCCGCTTCTCAAAACGCCCTCCAAGCCACTCCGGTGATGAGGAGAGGAAACAAAAACTTGTCCCTGGGGGTACTGTACTACACACGAGATGTTTGTTCCTAGCGGTCTTGGAATGGCACGGACAGTGTGATCTGCGCGTCTAATAGTCTTTGGGAGTTGGGGTGTATCGAGCAAAATCGACTGGGCATTTTTTGGAGTGACTCCGGGCCGTCTTCCCTCCTCTGCAACGGACATGAGAGGACGATTGACAACGCAGGTTGTGTCCATCGAGCTACTGCGGTCTGGTCGTTCAGTTTCTGTTTCAGCAACATATGGGCTTTTGTCCGTTTTTATACGTTCGTCAAGTTCTTATGGCTACAAGTTTCTCCGTTGAAGCAAAACAAGTTCCTTTTCTCTCGCTCGCAAGGTTCGATCTTGTCTAATTTGGCTGGCACCTTGTTTGGGAGCATTCAGTGGCGAACGGTACTACGCGGGACCTCTCTCGAGTGAGGATCAAAGTCTAGGCTTGTCTGCGTTGCCGCTTGGTCATTGAGTCACTTTTGGACTTTTCAGTGCCGTCCTTGGCGAGTTGAGCAACGGGCGAAGAAAGCGCTTCGATATACGAGGATTTGGATGCTGATTGACGGACTCTGTGGGCTGTTGGATAATAGTTCTGAGGCACTGAAACTGAACGTTTCCAGACGCAGTTACTGCTCATGGACTGCCGCTTCTTCTTCGGAGGAAGCGGCCTCTTTTTTTTTATAAGTCTCCCCTTCCCGGTTGCTTTGACATGGCTAACTACCGTCAGTTATCGGCGCATTTGCGATTATGCGGGGGCAAGTAGGCATGTTGATGCGTTGATATGGGGATTCATAGTCGTATCAGAACAATCTCAGCTAAATACAATGAAGTCCTGCAATAATTTCCCATGATGAATATAGCCCTACCCCAAATTTCGCCGTCTGACTAATCCCCCCTGCCCCGCCACTGGCGATAAGTGGAAGCCCAAGGAACATTCCCGCGATTTTTTCTTTCTTCCGGCTTTTGTATCTTTTGTGACAGTCTAAGGAAGTATATAATCCTGTCGCATTACTCTCTTCTCTTGGAGATTCCTCTTGTCTTTCAATCTTGAGTTTGCTGTTGCTAGTATCTTGGTCGCGAGTAATTTGACTCTTATCGCCCGCCACCCCGCTTTTTTTTTTTTTTTTTTTTTTTCCTCCTTCGCATCGCCGAAGTCAGTCACATACGCTACACTTACCAGACAGACACAGACACAGACTTCATCATGTCCGGAGACGCTCAGACGAACGATGCCGCGCAGTCGGCCTTCCAGAAGCCCGGTGACTTGGTGGACAGAAACGAGGATACTGGTGTTATGCAGCTGGAGAGTCTTTGCATGAACTGCCATGAAAATGTATGCTTCCATGGGTTTCATAAATGTCTTTCGCATTGAGATAATAACAAATGGCACAGGGAATGACCAAGCTCCTTCTCCTTCGTGTTCCCTTTTTCCGCGACATCATCCTCGAATCCTTCGAATGCGAGCACTGCAACTTCCGCAACAACTCCGTCAAGTCGGCCGGTCAGATCCAGGAGCAAGGATCGATGTACACATTGAACGTGGAGGGCGACGAGGATCTCCGGCGTCAGGTCATCCGCAGCGACACCTCGACCTTCAAGCTCGAGTCGCTTGGTATCGAGATGCCCAAGGGCGACAGCCAGATGACAACGGTGGAGGGTGTGATCGCACGGATCCACGACAACCTCGCCAGCGAGCAGCCGCTGCGCAAGGCCCAGGCCCCCGAATTGCACGACGCGCTCGCTCCGCTCATTGAAAAGCTCGAGAAGATGATGAACCGCGAGGAATTCCCGTTCGTTATCTCCCTCGACGACCCGACTGGTAACTCGTGGATCGCGCCGAACCCGCTCGACAAGGGCGCCAAGTACAGGCGTCGCGACTACCCCCGTACCCACGAGCAGAATGAAGAACTCGGTATCGCCGGCGACGCGGAGGCCGTTGCTGCTGAGACCGCGGAGATCGACGCTAACGACTCCGAAATCGTTGACGGCAAGGTCTACAGTCTTCCCTCCGAGTGCCCTGGCTGCTCGAAGTCTTGCTTCGTCAACATGAAAAAGGTCAACATTCCCTTCTTCAAGGAAGTCTACCTGTGGGGTACCGTCTGCGAGCACTGCGGATACCGTACCAGCGACGTCAAGACCGGTGGTGAAGTCCCCGAGAAGGGCAAGAAGATCACCCTCCGCGTCGAGAACGAAGTCGATCTCTCCCGCGACATCCTCAAATCCGACACCTGCGCCCTGCACTCCGACGAACTTGAAGTCACCGTCGAACCCGGTACCCTGGGCGGCCGCTTCACCACCGTCGAGGGTCTGCTTACCGAAATTCGCGACCAGCTGAAGGGCCAGATTTACGATGTCGACGACACCACTCAGACCGGAGGTGACAGTATGGAGTCATCTGACAAGGACAAGTGGGCGCGCTTCTTCTCCCGCCTTGACTCTGCCATCGAGGGCAAGATGCCTTTCGTCATTACCCTCCAGGACCCCTTGGCCAACAGCTACGTCCAGGACCTGTGTGCGCCGGCCGCGGACCCCCAGCTTACCCTCGTGGAGTACACGCGGACAGACGAGGAGGAGGACGACCTTGGTCTGAAAGACATGAAAACTGAGGGTTACGAGGAGGATGCTGAGAAGAAGGACGAGGGTAATGGCGAGCAGAAGTCGTGATCTGATACCCTTGTTTTCTTTGAGTTATTTGCTATGATTTGTCTTTATGATGTGCATGATCTTCTTAATGTCTCTCTTTCCTTGATATCTTTCCTAACGCATACGTTGATTGCATGATGATGGCGTGTCCCAGGCCCTGCATAGGGTCTAGTTCTTTCGAAATGGGGTCGTTTTATATACCAGCTGGGGTTTGGTTCTGTTTATTTGGTTCATAAAAGTTCGACAAGAAATGGCATTGTGGTCTTCACAGTTGAATGATAGTGCTATGATGCTTGCACTTTGCCGACGAAATTATATACAGTAATGAAAGCACACGTCTTCAGCGTTCTGTGGATGTTGTCAAGTCTCCGGAATATACTAGATCCAATCTTCATCTGAGCATCTATCACTGTAATTTGGCCTCATTCCATTCGTTGCAAATCATTTGGAATGTCTTTCATGTAGATCTCCATCCGTCCATATCGTCGTAGGCTCTAATAGACACAGAAAGCTAGTGTTGCCTAGCACTTAGCACATCGTCATATCTTCTTTCCTTTCCACTAACCAAGTATCCTGTTTCCGCTTAAATAAATGATGAACAACCCCCCCGCACCCCAAAACATCTTATTCCGGCACTGTTCCAGCTGCCGAAGAGTCCCACGAGAACTTCAACATACCAAGCAAGAGACGTCAAGAATTGCTACATAATCTTAGCAAAGCGCTTGGTGCTAACAAGGTCCCAGCTCCATTCTGGGCATGCCTCCAGGTGTGTGACCTGAGTCAGCTTGAAGTTATAGTCAACAACGCCCACCATGCCCCTTTTTTCATCACTTCTTTTGCAAAATATTGCAGTCCTCAGATCCCATTATTGTGGCTACAAGAAGATCAAGAAACTGATGGAGACTCTGTCTCATCATCCTCCATCTCAACAGACAGCGGATCATCTACGCAAGACCCATGTCCTGCTGAGGAAGCCGATGAACGTGATGGCAGTCACTGTGTTTTCAAAAGACTAGCACCAACTCACGTTGCATATATTTATCCCAATTACCTCATAGGACAAGGCCAACATACTATGAAATTCTGGGATCTGCTGTCAATCTTTTGGTCCACTGAAAAGTTACAGCATTGGAAGGGGTTGCTTTTTCAGGACCCGGTTAATCCCATCAAAGCCATACATGCATGTTACAATCGTCTGTGTATGTCTCCTGAGATATACTAGATGTGGAGGATGGGTGCATTTGCTATTCGGCCACTGGAATACAATGCTACCATGACTGAACTTGAGGTGGAGTGGTATTGGCAACCGAAGCAAGAGCACGATGTCTTATGATTCTGTGTCTTTGGTTATGCTTCCATTGTCTTCTATGGGTCTTGATTCAACAAAGAACAGCTTTAATATCCTAATGGATCTGATAATAAAGCCTGGTCCAGGAATTTATCATGAGGTGAGAACTAGGGACAAATTGTAATCAAGACAAAGGATGTAGTTAGAACATCTGCCCCTCCCCAACAAGGAGCTTCTTGAGTTGCAGTTTCATTTACAGAGAATAGCATATATGGCTGGTCTTGGTCGGTATTATAGCTTGGATTTGCATATGCTTGATGGCAAGCCGGCAATGACTTGAGTTGCTTGACTTCTGTATCTCAGCAAGCAATGGGTATGACGAAAACAACTCGGTTATTATGTTTTCGAGGAGTCTATTTATTTGGTATACAAAAGTTTCAACAGAGAATTACATTGTGGTCCTCATGTTATCTGATCCCTAAGGAGTACCGGCGCTGGCACCTCTGTCCGGCCAACCTTAAGAATTTGCATGCAGCAATGGTATTTAGCGTTCTGGATCGTAAACAATTGTTGTTGATATATCCCGGAATGTCCAAGACAAATTTCTTATTCTTGGATTTGTCGGTTGTTCCTCCAGGCTTGGAATGATGTCAATTTCCGAAGACATCTTTAACGTATGTTGCGAGAAGAACGTCGTCGTACGGGACGTTCCTGGTTCTTTTAACAGGCAAGATATGGGAACCTAGTCCGTGCATCACCGCAAAAATGCGTCCTCCACGAGCTCAACATAGGGTACCAGATCCAATCTTCATTGGGTTGTTACCTGCACCCGTGTTGGGTGGCAACTCTCTCCCAAACTTGATCTGCCATAATGAGTTTCGTTCTCCTGTGCCGGGTTCTAAATCCTAGGCCCTGCTTGTTGTAAATCATCTCATACGTTGCTCTGAAATGTCAGGTTCTCGAGTGAGTACCGTCCGCACATGACTCGTGGAGCGAACAATACATCAACCTTCCTTCTAAATACCATGTAAGCTATTTGCTTGTCGACATCCATCCTTTACAGCACCACTGCCTGTTTCCAGTAGGCGGTGTCACGGAATGTCGCACGGGAATTCAACTGCTCGTTCACTGGCCTCAGTTTGTCGTTGAGCTGCCTTGCTTGGTCTTCCAAATATGAGGTATTGCAACCGGGCTGCTTTAACGAACTGAACGGCTTTTTGCTAGCCATGGTCAGCGCTGGATGGGATCAGCGCGCGAGTGACCGTGTAGTAGATCACAGCATTGTAGCCGGGGATTGAAGGACGCTACACGTTATCCTGCCGGCCGTTTTCCGGAAGTGGTGGCTTTCTCGGTCTCATCCAAACTGTGTACCGGGAAATTCTCTCACATAGATCTTCCTTTCGGCCTCTACACGCTGAAGATGTCTCGGATGTGGGCACATTGAGCCCCGAGCGCATCCCTAGAGAAACGCTGCCGGGGTCAGATGTTCGCTCGCTCGTGTGCGAAGTATAGTCGCCTGGCGAGTGATTCGTGGTCTTTCCCAGTGAATTCGTTCCATAGGTGTTTAGCTGTAAACACGTGGGCCGGGGCAAAATGAAATCTGACTCCTTTCTCTTCCCGGGTATCCGAGTTTCTAACTTGCGATGTCTGAAACTCGATAGGCGTGGGTGTAGTCGTTTGCTTGTGTGTTCCGTCTTGGTCCATATGTCGCTCTGTGTTCAATTCATCCGTCAAAAGTCACCAAGACAGCCACAGACATGAGAACCTCCGTTTGGGCCATAGGATCAAGGGAAACATCCTCTGCCACTTCAAAAACCTCGACCGGGACAAGTACAATCTGATATCGTTCCCGCACAGGTTCAATGGTCCTTTTCCTGATTCGTTCTTTCCAAATTCCAATAAAAACCGTTCTCAATCCGCTCCGAAGTGCGTGCGTGCGTCGCCTCGCTAGGGAGTCCGTTCCGGTCTCTAGTCCGGCTAGGAGGCAAGGTGAGGACAGTATAGACGGATCGAGGTCTTCTAGTTTAAACCAATAAAAAATATATGAATAGAACCAGCCCTAACGACCAATTTGGTAATGGAAGCAAGAACTGGATGCATAGTGCTGTGTTTGTGCAGGGTCAGAGATGGACGGCGGTCGAGACGGGGGAAGGTGTCTTGAGGTACTGACCGTTTAGGCAGCTACGGCACCTGCCTATTCAGTGCAATACCAAGCGCAAACTGCTATGCATTTGTGCAGTCTCTGTCATACAGGTAAAGTGATACAGTCACAATAGTACTCTCAATTGGACATGTTTAGCAAGGATGGTATAGCAAGCATATACATACATCTGTCTATTTACATGGTGAAGCAGGCTCGTTTCAAAGGCATGTAGCCGTGGCCTGGATGGCTTTTGTCGAGCCACCGTCTGTGGACCATCCGTAACTCGGACCTTGACAAGGGCGTGACGAAGGAATCCCATCAATAGGAGGGTATTTTCAACCGCCACAGCGCTAAAAGTGGCCGTAGGCCATTGCGGTTTGGATTCGCTTTCTCTGTTTTCGAACCCGCGGTCAACCCGCCCTGCCATCATGCCATATTATATCCCGATGATTTCGCGCTCATCAATGTAGACCCGTCTCCAAAGCAGCTCACCCAGCGAATGGATTCGCATGAATCGTCACCGTGTTAATCCGCAAAGCATCATGCTCCTCCTCCTGTCCATCCTTCGGCTGCACAACCCTCCCCTTCTTATCAATCTTCACATTAGCACCCTCCAACCTCGCCAACACATCCCCGCCCTCATCCTGCGCCGTCAAATTCAACACCTTCCCAAACACCGTACTCGCCCCGTCCAAATGCGGCGCGGCCGCAAGTGTGACAAAGAACTGGCTCCCGTTAATCGTCGTCCCAGTCGCACCTTGGAACCCCGGCGCTGTCCGGTCCTTCACGGGCCGAGATGCCATAGATAGCATCCCGCGGGTATGGTGTCGGAGGGCGGGGAGGCTGATCTCCTGGTTCAGCGCAGAGGGGTGGAAAATCGAGGTGCCGGACTTGGGGACTTCGAAGGGGAGGACGGGTTTTGCAGAGGTTTCAGGGGAGGAGTGCGCTGCGTCGCCGAGGGAGATGTCGCCGCCTTGGATCATGAAGCCGGGGATTAAGCGGTGGAAGGGGGTGTTGTTGTATGCGCCAGTCGCGCAGAGGGCGAGGAAGTTCTGGTTGGTTTGTTAGTATTTGAAGCCCTTAATTTGGTCAAGTATACGTACTTGTGCGGTTTCAGGGACGGCTTCGCAGAAGAGCTCGACCTTGAGGTCGCCGTGGGTGGTATGGAGCTGTTACCGTCAGCGTTTGTGCCGTGCGGAATAAATCCAGTCGCGACTCACTGTAACAGACATTGTTGCGCCGTATATTTATTCTGAAGAGCTGCAAGTATCAGGATGGAACGAAGCTATGAAATCAATCCTAGTCTCCAAGTTGTCGGACGCGGCAGAATTTCAACACGTCCAAGGGCGGTGAGATGGTATGTCCCTACCACCTTCCATATACGGAAACGCCCGACTAGGGTTCGGTCTAACGAAACTAAGCATACGGTTGGCCTCCTATTTTGTAATCAAGGTTTGATGATCACCTTCCGGAAACTTCTACACAGACAGATTTCAGATAGAAATGTAAGATACTCGAGAGTATTTACGTTAATTTAAGCATCCCAGCTGAGAACAGCACGGTATCACATCTTTCCATCCCTCAATCTATTGGCAGCTTCCGTAACACCCTCCAGAGTCATGGGATACTTTTCAACAATGCTGTAGATCCGGTGGCGCGCAGCAAAGTCAAGCATTTTGTTCCTGTATCTCGTTAGCTCTCTTCCCAAAAGATCTAGCGAAAGCACATACTGAGGGTAACGACTGTAAATACAGCTGCCCACAATGCTATTCCCGAACATAGCCGTAGGCATGTACGGAGCAGTCAAGTCTCCACCATCAACAGACAAGGGGAGAATAGTAGCATTACGTGCCAACACAGGATAGAACAGGTCCAGATTAAACTTGGCCAAAGTCGTGATCAGGAGACGGTCGACTGGTTTGGCACGTTGAGTTGAGCATAGTTCGATATTCCTTTCGTCGCGTAGAATTCGCTAGCACCGAGCTTCAAGGCCTCTTCACGCTTGTCCTCGGTAGACGAGAAGACAACGACATCGCAGCCCATTTTCGCTGCGAATTGAATGGCAAGATGGCCGAGACCGCCAATTCCAATGATACCGACACGTTCATAGGCCTTGCAGTGCTCGATTAGTGGCACCCAGACGGTACCGCCGCCGCCTTGTATAGGTTAGTCCTTTGTCCATTTGCGATTGAGGTCGACTTACACATCAAAGGAGCAGCGTCGAGAGAGGAAATAGCATCGGGGATCTTGAATAGCCATTGCTCCTTACGGACATCGTGGCTGCAGACAGAGCCATTGATCTTAAAGTCATGGAATCCGTAGTACTTGGCATTGAAGCAATATGCGTCCTTTCCGGTGGTGCACATGTCGCAGTTTCCACATGTCGAGCTGGCAGGGCCCCAGCCGACACGGTCACCTGGGTGCAGGCCGTTCCGACTTTCTCGACAACTCCGATGCCTGGATAGAGTTAAGTTAATCGATTTCGCTCCGTTCTGCATAGCGTATGCTCACCTTCATGACCAAGCACCAATGGCTGCGTGAGCATGTGGATATCACTTCCACAGACCACTATGGGTGATCTTCACCTGGACTTCATCAGGCTGAATATCAAGGAGCTCAGAGGTCTTCTGGATAACCTCTCCGGAAGGTGAGCCACGGAATTGGATAGCTTGGACCATTGTGCAACTGATATCTTGCGACGGATAGTTTCAAACTTGACCTGATGGACTATGGTCCTCAAGGTAGCAGCATGGCCATTATATAGTCTGTTTCCCTCAATTGTAAGTACATCCGTCTGCCTCTTGTTACCCTCCTGATTCCTTATCGTGTGGGTATCCTTTAATTCCGCAAACCCCGTGTCATCGCGATGACCGATGATGGTCCAAGCGAAACTTTGTATACAAAATACAATTATATCAGCACCGTGAAGCTAACTTACACCGTGTATAACAGGGTCCGTAATCTCCCCCTTAATAATCTTCCTCGGAATATCCACATGAAAGACCCCATCCGAATCCAGATACTCCGGCCGCGTATACAAAGTCATCATATCAAGATCTCCCTCATCAACACTATTAAACAACTGAAACGAGTCCTTAAACTGCACGCGCCACTTCCACCAGATCTCATCATCTGTAACATCAGTCTGGCCCGGTATGCAGAATTCCTGCTCAGCGTCTTCGAGCATCTGTGCCCAGATTTCTCTCTCCATGCAGTACTGCATTATCACGGTCGAGTCATGGGATGACCGCTCATCGAGCTTAGCAATCCAATATTGTGTAATACCGCCTCTGTTTTCTGTGCGCTTGAGGTCTTTCACCTTGTGGTGGGTGTAGAGACGGAGTTCGGTATCGGTGGCATCTTTGAATCCGGTGGTGAAGGGTTGAACTGGCGGCTCAGTGCCCCAATTATCAAAATGGTCTTGATCCAGTGTGCGAACTAGGCTAAAGACGTTCCCGAATCCGCTGTCTCGGGAGAATTCGGTCATGAGTTGGTTGATTGTCTTGAGTTGCGATCAGCGATTCCGGGTTGTCATCATATTCTAGTCTCGGAAGGTATTTCCATACTGTTTCTGGTACATCTTCGGTGCAGAATAGAAAGATAGTAGTCATGACTCGATAAGCAAGACCAAGGTAGAGAAGAGACAGGTGTATTGAATCAGTGGTAATCCGCGATCGAGGCGGTGCTCCGCGGGGTCATGTGATAAACACTTCTGTTTTCTTCCTGTAGTATGAATCTGTACCATTGAAAGTATACAGTTTAAATGATCAAAATTCTGGCATAAACTGAATTACGGCGGGGAATGCGCTAGTGTGACTTATCTTGAACACTACTTGTTTTACCTGTCAGCCCTAAGTCCTATCTCCGAACTGCTTACCCCCAGTGGGATACCAGTATACAGAGTACGTAGTACAAATTCGGATACTACAAAACCGGAAACAGAGCCGGGATGAACTTCTGGCGTCGTTCATGACTGTCGATCAGAAACAACAGGCAACATCCATTTACCAGCTATATATTTCGTTGCCCTCACCCTGCCACAAGACTATTTATCTTAACTGGGAGTTCTCACCATCATGCTGAGTTGACATCCGGAGACCCAAGACTATCTTCGTCGCCGTCGCCAATATTAGGGAGGAAAATCTGCCTTGCTGTAGCATCATGGCGTTCGGTCGACTGGAATGAAGACAGGGGAGCGGCGGAATGAGAGGCTGACAACGGTTCGTGGTCAACATACGTTGCATATTATCAGCTCTTATCGTGGGCTCAATCCTCGTCGTCTTCAATGATCTTTAGGTTATCATCCGTACCTGCTGCGCTCATGACTGCCAATATCTGGAGATGAAATCGAAGACCAAGGAGTTCGATGCTGGGAAGAGGGTGGGTTTCCGGCTTCTCGGTGCTGATTATGAACCGATCCCCCGTTTTCACTCACTTGTGTCCGCCAGGGGAATTGAACCAGATCCCGTAAGGCGTGCGTTGCATGTCGACTGTAAAGTCGAGCCAGCCGATGAGGTCGGGGTCTTCGTGATGGGGCCCGACTTTCTTAGAACACACACGTGCTTCGCTCGCTGGGTCGTAATATCAATCGCACTCCGTTTCCTGGACCGTCTTTTTCTTCGCGGTATCGTCGTCATACGAATCCTTCTTCAGTTTCTGGGGCCAAAGCAATGAAAGCTCCTCGCATATGTATTTGGCCACCGTCCATACGAAGTCCGACGCTGCTTCTGCCTTCTTGATGAGCCCCTCAAGCATGTCCAAGTCACAGACCTGACCTGGAGAGAAGCCCAGAAGGGCACTGGGATCTCCTCCGTTATTATAGCCACGCCCAAGTGATAATATCTTGACACGGCTTGGATGGTTTACAGAAGATTTCTTTGGACAGATATGCTGGGTCAAGTGTCTTCGTGTGTGCTCTGGATACTGGAACGTCGTCGTCCATGGCGGAAAAGTCGGGCGATCGATGTACTTTCGTTTCTGCTGGGTGTCCCGTCAGCAAATCTGTCAAGTAAGTTGGGCTGCAAGCTAGAGATACTGGTTCACGCTGTTGTTGCTTTGCTTACGATTGTCTCAAAGAAGAAACAGAGGATGTCGATGGTGGGAGAAAATAATTCACCAGGCTCCCAGGCAACAGGTACCATGATCTGAGTGATGAGAAAATAGCGCTACCTCAAGCAGCTCTGAGTGTTTACTGCACTATATCTCCTTCCTACCGTCGATAGGAGTCGGTGATAAAACTGGTGCATTCACAATAATATATCTTCTTTGACTCCATGACAGATCAAACCGTCCCACAAAGTACATAAAGTGTACAACCATTCACTCTCGATAGAGTCCACACCTAAAGGGGTTAGTTAGGTGGTAAAGCATCTGAGGTACTTCTTCGCTTCCTCTGATCCGAGAGTTTTGGCGCCGCAGCTTATTGAGTTGATTTCGGCGGGACGGGCGAGGCCTAGTTTTATTTCGACGGCGGCGATTCGGATTGATGAGGTGCCAGGTATTATGAGCGGTTTGATCGGGAGGAGATCTAGGTGCATATTCATTTCCCTTGGTGGGCCGAATTAGCTGATAGAAGACTGTTGGTGTTAAAAGAGTCAAGACATAAAAACCGTGATGATCCAAATAATCCATTCTGTTTTACAACAAAGCTATATGTTACAGAGAATAAAACTGATAAATCAATGGCTATCCAATATCAACCCCAGCATAAATCATTCAATCATCAATCAAGATAGCACCGCCGTCCGCCTCGTCCAAGACGATGGGCTGTGTGCCGTCGTCTCCATTAGCGGCCTTGTTCGTATGAATCCGTTTGACATCTGCATCTTCTTGGTTGATTTCTGTCTCCTCAAGTTTGCGCTTCACGCCTGTGGTGTCGCTGACGGTTTCGGGAAGGGTAGGAGGTGCTGGTGTCGGGGCTTTAGGCTTGCGGGGGATGTCGATGGCTTTCTCCAGGGAGATTGGTTTCTCTTCGTTTGACAAGGGAGACCTACTCATGCATCGTTAGTCAGTTGCTTAGAAATGCGTAATAGTGCGGCCACTCACTCTTCCGGAGCCTTCACGATCAATTCAAGATTCACACGCGGTTCATCATCTTCGTCAACAACAGTCAAGAAACTTTCGTCCTTCACACCCAAGTCCCGCAATTTCTTCGGCAGATTGTCTTCCAAATCAGGGTCGTAGATAGTGCCCAGTGCATTACTGATAGAGAACTCTTCTCCATACCTGAGCTGAGAGCGGAGCACATCTTCGACCAAGTTGTTCAGCGTAGCACGCCTTAGGTCGATTTCCACACGGCCCATTGCGACCGAGCAAACTGGACAGTTAGGATTAGGTGGTTTAAGAGAATCTGAATTGATGGCACGAGCACCGGAGCGCTCCAGGAAGACCATTTTAGCATTAGCATAGTCATCTTTCAGAACCTTCATGGCCTGTAGAACGCAAAGACCGGCGGTCATAGCGTTAGTAGTAGCGATGGCAGGGATAATATTACCGGCCATCTCTGTCATACTAGTCAGCATCTTCCGGGAAACCTAGATCTCGCGCGAACTCACGCTTCGTATCGAACTTCGACTTAGGATCGATTCCAAAGATTGCAGCTCGCAGGTTGGCAGTAGCCGCAACAAAGTCCAAGGTATCAACGTCGTCCTTATCGAAGTCTAGGATTGGATGACTGTCGCCCATGGCAGTCTCCTGAAGCAACCTCAGTCTCTTGCTCAAGCGATCCAAGCTGTCCTTGAAAACGACGAAGTCCTCCGCCAACGACCACACCTTCTGATCATTGCTAGAAACAGTAGCTTCGACCGATGAAGACACCTCCTCCAGCTTGTCGAAATCAAGGGACTCTGGTGGATTCCGGGTTTTCCACATATCCTCCATCCCTCTCAACCTTTCAATATCCTCCTTGAACACCTTCTCGAATACCTTGCGGGCGAATTCATCGGACCCCATGGACTGACGAATCTCCTTGAGGGCCTGTGCTTCTCTGCGCAAGTTCGCAATTTCCTCCGCTATTCGTTGTCAGTAAATCGAGGTGCTTTGGAAGCGGGACTTAACCTACCGTTCTCGGCATCTTCGGAGCTGTCAAGCTCTTCTGTCTCATCCTCGCTCCTCCCAAACAGCTCACTGAAAAGAATTAGAATCTCTTGATCGTGCAAACTTGGAGTAGAGCACATACGGGAAAAGGTAGCTCTTAGCCCAGACAATGCAGTGGATCGGCTGACTGGGTGTGCTCCGGATAGTACAGACAGGGAACGACTTCGGGACTTCCTTGGAATTGCAATCGTAGCATTCAGTTTGGCCCTGTAGATTATCAGCCAAACCGCACAATCCCCGCGCATCGCGTCGCATCGCATTATGCCCACCTTTTTGATGACCTGCACCTGACCATTGAACCCCGTAGTTCCGCTCTCAATCAAAGGCACGCCAGCTGCCAGACACATCCGGTTGACATAGCGCCGTGCATCGAGGTTGTCCAAAGCATTGAACGCCACATCAAAGCCACCAAACCAGTCGACGTTAAACTGGCTGTCCTTGATGTTGGCATGGTACGCTTCCAGCTTCGCGCGCGGCTGAAACTTGTGTGCCACTTCCTTCGCAACCTATACAACAAACGGCGACTCGTCAGACAAGGGGAAATTATACGGTTGCTAGGGGGAGAAGTCGGAGGGGGAAGGGAGGGGTCGACGGGGGTGGAGGGCGACGGAGACGCACCAGTGCCTTGGGCTTCTTGATGTGTTCGAAACGGAAGAGGAACTGGCGATTCAAATTGCTCAGGTCGATTGTATCGAGATCGATGATGTGAATTTCGCCGAACCCAGATAGGAGGAGGTTCTTGAGCAGCTCGCAGCCGATGCCGCCAGCGCCCACGAGCAGCACACGCGACTGTAGATCAGACAGGAAATATCAGCAATGCGATCGCGTAAAGTGGAATTTGCGAGGACAGTAAAAGAAAAAGTTCATAGCTAGGAGATACCTCTTTGATGCGCCTGGCGAGAGTTCCGACTGAGCGCTTGAGATAAGTATCTCGCGTCATGGTTGCAGGATACTCAGGAAAACGAGAAAATCATCACTTGGCAAGACAAAGGAAACGTTGTAGAGAGAGGTTTGAAAAGTTGGTGAAGGAGAGAGAGGATAAAGAATGACGAGTTGGAGAAGAAGTTGGAAGAGGGAAGAGAAAGAGCTGGGAAATCCGGAGATAGGCGAGAGCTCCGACACAGCTTCTACTACTGAGTTACTGTCTTACTGACCCGCCCACACAACTGTCTGTCTACTACGACTGGACTTATTTGGATTAAGAATGGATGACGGCAGTGAATAATCAAGGAACACAGGAGTAAGCAAGTAAGCTGCCATTCCTGACTGAGAACTGCCAGCTAATACCGGTCCAGGTCCGACCATCCCTGTGGATATCCAGACAGCTATACAGCAACACAGCCAAGGATTCACTTTTGTCTATACAAACGAATACCCGGCTTCTTAAGGATCCTTCCTTGGGACCTTTGCCAGCAGATGCGCATCTTTCCAGACACAGCCTTGAGTACAATAAAGACACAGCAGTGAGACGCCATGCAGTCCGGGTCTATAAAAAAGACGAAGATCCATGCACCTGCATCGGCCAGACCCTTCTTCTTTAGCCAGACCTCGCCATAACTACCTGCCCAAAGCTCTGGTGTTTCAGGAGACAATGACGGTTTGAAAGGAGCTGGTGGAGTGATGCTTCACGCAGTATTCCGTACAGATACCGTTTGCACTACTGACATGTCTTAATAGGTGGGATTCTAGGATCTGGGAATAAGCGACAGCATCGGCATTCTTGTCGTATCATTTATAAAAGCTGAGCTATAGCCATCCATGTCTCGTACCTATTCCCATGCTCTGACCATACCGGGATACTCACAGACCATTTCTATGATTATCATCTTCTGCTCGATAATCTAGACTCTATACCTCCGTGTCTTTCCCTTGATAGATCAATCCTCCCACATGGTCGACCTGTCTGCTTAGTAAAACAGTCGCAGACTCTTCTATAGTTATACAATTAAAAAAAAAAAAAAAAAAAAAAAAAAAAAAAAAAAAAAAACAGAAAAGGAACTGTTTCAAGATGCCTCATTTTCCTTGTTTGATGTGCCTCTTCTCTTCTTTTTATGCCCAAGAATAGTTCCTCGTGGAGAAATCTGTGGACTTAAAAAAAAAAACAAGCCTCTCGATCGCTTGCCGTGGAGATGGCCGAACTTTTTCTCCCTCCTTTTCACACCCATTGCAACGTCCTTTCAACTCCTGACTGCGCGCTCTTGAAGGCCAGTCAGCAAATATATCTCACAAAATCCACGCCAGTCGATGAGAAGAAGCACCATGTCGGACGACGAAGCGGATCCCGAGCTCCTAGCTCTCCTTCGCAAATCGCTCGGCCTCGGCGGAGGTGCAGCGAACCCTCGCGCGGCGGAAACAAAGGTCCTCGAGAACGCTGAATACGTCTACGACAACGCCATTGACGTCGCCCTGAGCGCGGGCAAGACTAAGGATGTCGCGGAGACCATCTGGCGCATGATGCTGAAGAAAGAGTACTCGACGCACACCTGGTCGGAGCACGAGCTACACCCCAAGTCCAAGGACGAGAGCACGGTCGATTTTATTTTCACTATGGACCTGTTGAACTTTAGTTTCTGGTCGGAGGAGCGCGACGAGGAGAAGCGGTGTGCGATCGAGTATCGTGGGAGGAAGTGGACGGGGTACTGGGGTTTGGTTGCGGCGCTGCAGAGGGCTTTGGATGAGGGGATTCCTATCACGGATCCTGAATACTGGGTGAACGAGGATGTGTGTACGGACGACGTGATCAAACGTGTGTTCCGGTCTGCGACGGAGGAGCAGATTCCTTTGCTCCCGGAACGGATTCAGTGCTTGCGCGAGGCTGGACGGGTGCTGTGTAAGGATTTTGACGGCAGCTTTACGAACTGCATCTACAGCGCACATTACTCTGCAGCATCGCTTGTCAACTTACTCGCAGAAAGCTTCCCATGCTTCCGGGATGAGACGACCTTCCACGGCCGGAGGGTCCGGCTGTACAAACGAGCTCAGATCCTCGTCGCGGACCTCTGGGCCTGCTTCAACGGCGAGAGTTATGGAGCGTTCCAGGACATTGAGAAGGTCACCATGTTTGCGGGTAAGTGCCGTCCTCGACTTTCATGGGACCCAGCAGCTAACGATACCAGACTACCGTATCCCCCAAATTCTCTACCAATTCGGCTGTCTAATGTACTCACCCCCGTTAGAAAGCCACATCAAAGACCTCAAGCCCATCCCCAGCGGCTCCAACTGGGAAATCGAACTCCGCGGCGTCAGCATCTGGTGCGTGGAGCTCATCAAGCGCGAAATCGAAAAGCGACACCCAGATGTAAAATCCGTCAAACTACACCCACCACCTTCGAACGAAGAAGCAAACGCTCTCGAGGACGCCAGGAAATGCACGACCCAGAAGCACTCGAAACACAAGAAGAGTGTGCAGGAGCCGCAGGTTTCCGGGATCAATGCGATTTTGATCGATTTCTTCTTATATGATACTATGAGGGAGATTGAGAAGGATGGGAGGGACACTATTCCTCATCATCGGACGAGGAGTATTTGGTACTGATTTCTTTCTTCTCTTCTTTCCTTTCTTGATGACTTCTATTCTGCATCATATACCCTCGTTTTTTCCATACTCTCGTTTTAATGGTGATTCTCTCGGGGTTTGCTTTGACCTATAGAATTCTCTTCATATACATACTTTTTTGCTCTGGCAGCAGGCTATTTTAGTGTCTGGAAAATGGACGTTGACAAACGAATATACCAAATTAGCAGGTGCTGTTCCTTCTCCATTCTATTATCCCCAAAGACACATCTTCCACCTCGACTCCTGCACACTTAAACCCCTTTCTTGGTCCAGTGTGACAGACCCCAAATCGTTTACACTGATTGTTTAGTACCTTTTTCTAAACTTGAGACTGAACGAAGAGGATAGCTAGATCTCCATGGGCTGGTCTGGTGCGGGCCAAGTCCGTCAAGAGAGGACTTCCACTGGAACACCAGCAACAAGAGTTAATCAACACCTTGGTCAAAGCAACCCGGCTGTAGGTCCTTAATCAACAGCCATGCCCCGAGTGTCAGAGTCGATCGTTACCTTACACCTTAACTGCGAAACTGTCGAACGGTTTGGGGTTGACAAAGCGGCTTCCGTGCAACGAACAACTTCCAGAGACTCCATTGTGCACTGCGCGGAACATGTCCTTTGTAACATGCTGTAGGTGTGGCATTGGTAGAGGGCAATGAATGCAGTGGTGCTGCCTAAGTGCGGGGTTCTGAATAATATCCCCATTGGGGTTGGCGCGATGCGAGACAAGTAAGATAGCAGGGCTATGGTATATAAAGGTCTCGAGTTTCCCCGTGGAAGGACTGATTTGTGTGGATTCTTGGGAGCTTTGGAAACTCACAGCGGGAGGGTCTTTGGAAGTTGATGGTATATCATTTTGTCATTTTGTTGGGCTTTCTTTCATATCAGACAGTGAAACACTATATTAGTACCCGATTTTAGGAAAGATATCGAACTTACGAAAGAATTTAATAGATATCGAAAAAAAGCGGAAGGCATCCAGGGTACTCTGAAGGAAATAACTGATGAATTACGGTTGTTTCAACGTGAGAAGGATGTTGGTAAAGAGAAGATTTCCCTCATGGAACTGGAATCGAGATTGTTAAAGCTGATGGATAGCCATGAGAGGACTAGGAGGGATCTGAGGGAATTAGGGTATAGTTTGATCGTGGATGACACCAGGTTGGAATTTCAGTACTGTCTGGTGGAGGCAAAGAAGCTTGTGAGGATGGCTAATGGCTTTTGTTGGTCAATTAGTGAAGGTGTTCTGGATTGTCTTTGGACGCGGAGCTATTGGATGATGAATGGTATAAAGGTGAAGGGGAGTTCTAATGGGGGGGGGGGTTGATGGGTTGGATGAAGGGGCAACATATTTGCAAACAGTAGGCAAGATAGCTATAACTAACTATAACTAGTTAACACCTAGTTAGTTATAGTGAATGCTTGTATCTAAAGGCCAATTTCATGAAGCTCTTCACAACAAGTATTTGGGCCTATGATTAGGATACCGGACTTATAACATGAGATAGATGGTCACAGGTGAGGATGTTTTCAATTGGCGGGAAGTTGGCCACAGTATCAATCCTAGTTGACACCAGGGCCCTGCGGAATATCAATTTGGTTTAGCATTATGGGTATCATTGAACTGAAGAATTAATTATGCCGAAATGCCGCCCTACGCACCAACCCGACCAGTCCTTCCAACCTGCTCAATCCTTCCCATAATATCCGCCTTCCACTCCAAATAATCCTCCTGCCGGTCCTCGCTCAACCAATCTACCCGATCCTGCATCATCGTCCCCAATCCCGGAAGTAGACCCTTCCTCGACGCATTCAGCAATCCACGGCCAGTCTTTGGTCGCTTCGCGGTTTCCCCTTCATCAGCAGCGCCATCATCCGACTCATATTCCTCTTCACCGTCTAACTCGCCGGCCTGCGGGATATTCTCGAACCATTCTTGTCCGTGAGCCCAATTCTGTTCCATGATGAGTGCAATCCACTGATCGACATCTGCGCGGTGTCGGCGCTCGTTTGCTGGGAAACCGAGACTGACGAGGGCTGTTTGGCGCATTTCGGAAAAGGTCTTTTTATCGAGCTTCTTGGATCCCCCGTTTTGCTCGTCATCGACGTCGACAGAGTTTCGCCGGCGGGCGAGGACGAGGAAGTAGATTGCCACGATTAAGGCGTTGATCAATTCCTTGAAATCCTCGTCTTTTTCCAGATCCCTTGCTGTCATGACCGGTTCTAGGAACTCCAGCATTTCCTCGTCGAGATCCGCGTCGGTATCATTGTTCGATATTTTCGAAATAAAGAAAAGAATGGAGGACGTGCCGGTGAACATATGCGGCGGAAACGTCTTTGATATAGGAGGTCGGGACCAAGTACTCGTTCTCGGTGCCGGGGTCGAGAGTGTCTTGCACACCGTCCGGATGGAAGCCATCACCCATCCCGGCGCGTCAGGAATAATCGTCGAGCCCGGAAGACCATTGGGTCTGATCTTCTTTTCCGTCCTCTGTGGTGTAACTGTACGAGACGGCGAATCGACGTTGCTAATCGCTCTTTTCAACGGCGTGGGTTTGCTCGGGGTGTTCTGGAGTCCGCGTGGCGTGCCTGGCACGGCTGATTTCGATGGTGTCCGGGCGAGTGTCGTTCTGTCCTTTGTAGGCGTAGATGGGTTCGATCCCGCGCGTGTAGGAGTCCCGGGTGCTGAGCCATTAGCCGAACGTTTGGCTGATGCTGTACTCGAGCCTAAAGACCGATCCAGGAAGCTATACAGCTTTTTGTAGACGCGCGGAGGACAGGGCGGATGGCCTAGTAACGGGGGTAGCCGGAGGGCTCGACCTAGCCTAAAAATCAAGAAATTAGAGACTATTAAATCAATACATTGCTCAAATAGATGATAGCATACCTCCGGCAAGCAATCTCAGCACAAGCATACGGCCGCGCGATCTCCTCCTCGGGCTTGAGGCTGGCCGAGAAGCTTCGCGATTGCGCGACGAGGGAGGAAGCTAAGCTGACGAGCTCTGGAGGGAGATCATTGGCGTGAGTTGGTAGTAGTGTGTTTAATGATTGCTCGACTGGTCTATTGTTCATTTTGTCTTGGGGGTGAGCTATGCGTGGTTGAATCGGAGGAGAATTGGAGATGTCCTTTCTTGTCATCTTTTTGCCTGAGTGGTAAGGCATCAATTAACTGTCAGGACTGTCCGAATACTTTTGACTACTAATTGCATTCTTGTCTACAACTACTTGATTCTATCGTTCTATACCAAAAAAGACGCGAATATCTTGCAACTATAAAGTTTCAGGGCTTGTATCGAATTGTTCCGCAGCAGCATGTCTTCCATTATCTTTACCAGTAGTTATCTTGCTCTCCATCTATACCTAGCAACATCTCGTAGAGTAGCGAACAGTCAGCTAATGTGCTGTAAATGGGGTAGAGCGCGCTTCTTGGCTCTTGAATATAACGGTACTTTCTGGTAGGTATGGTTTCCCCGGATGTGTGGAAAGGGCAGTGATGCTTGCTTGTATAGGGTATGCGGCTGGGGATGATATCCAAGTCAGTAGACATGTCATTGTGGGACTGTGAATCTCCAGACATAGCTATGAATATGCTGGTGATGCTTTTCCAGTGAATGCCCGTCTGTCATTCTTTCTTAAGGCGGGTTAGAGAAGCCAGTACCCTAGATGAGGGGAATGAGGCATGTCATTCGTATCTTGATAGCGTTGACCATCATTGGCAACAGAATGAAGCAAGAGCCTGCAGGCATGTCCCAACAATATGTTATTGCTTACATGGAGGTAGCAGTGGCGTGCATAGAAGCTTCAACCCGAAGTGAGGTCAAGAGAGCCTCTAGATAGGCAGGGTTCGAAGACTTCATGACCAATGGAGCACTCGGGCTGTACGACTTCCGATACTAAAACCATGCTTCAGCTTTCTAGCTGGAAAAGAGGATAGCGCCTCCCATGGGGCAAGGGTGGTTACAAGCCTTCGCTGCTACAAGAAAGAAAAGCTCCTTTAGAAACGGGCTGACAGGAAAATGTAACTGTGGCGAGGTTACAGGAGCCATTTTTGGGTTAGTGGCTATTGTGGCATTCGCTCAATCCTGAGTTTGTCTGAATCTGTGTAGCTCAGCAGGAATGGCTACATAAGAATGCACCTCCAGCAGAATATTCCAGTCGTATCTTTCTCAACTGTTTGTGAGGGCAATAGTAAGAAAATCGTCAATTTGATTTCATGCCGAAGAAGGCATCACCACTCCTAAGGATACAAGCCTTATCCGAAACAGAGAGTCCAAACTGAGGAAGAAGGATTCTCTGGGACTTGTTGACGAACACTGAGTCAGAAATCCCACCTTAGGGGTTGCGTACAGTTTTGGTGCGGAAGCAAGACTGGAATGACTCGAAGATGTTGTCAGCTAAGCTGAGCAAAGGTTTCCTGATGTTGGGAGAGGAGGTAATGTGTCTTCCTGTACTCGTCGAATCTGCGTTTTGTCTCCTGCAGAACCATCTCTCTAGAAAGAATTTGAGCGTCAAATGATATTATCTTTTCGAAAGCGCATCCCTTTCTTTTGCTATAGACGTGCTTCAGATGGGTTTCATGAGCCGTACTGATAGGTAAGCTACCCAAAGTACTGCATGTTCCAGACAACTGGTTGAGGGCAATTAAACAGCACTTAACCCGCCATCAATGTTAATAATGCAGTTATTAGCGTACTCATTCTGCGCCAGGAAGACGGCCGTGTCTGCGATTTCCTGCGGGTCACCAAATCGACCAAGCGGGATCTCATCCTTAAAATGAGTCTTTTCACTCTCACTGAAGTCTTTACAGTAATCAGTTGAAGCTCCTTTAATAGTTATGCACGACACTTACTGGCGATCATTGGGGTATCAATATACCCCGGGACAATAGCATTCGACCGGATAACCACACCCCGCAAGGAGCTCGCCGCCTCAACCGCGAGCGAACGGGTGAGACCAAGCACACCGGCTTTGGATGCAGCGTAGGGCACCGCGCCGGTTCCACCTTTGTGCGCTAGTAGGGAGGAGATGTTTATTATGCACTTCGAAGGGATTTCTGTGGTGGAATTGCGGTTCTTTGAACGGGTTCGAATTGCGGCGCGGAGCAAGGCGCGAGAGGTAAGGATCGCACCTTCAAGGTTTGTACGGAGAGTTTGGGATATGAAGTCTGGATCGGTTCTAGCGAGAATATTCGTCGTAGATATTCCTGCGGAGTTGACGAGGATGTCGACGTCTTTCTGTAGAGACTTTAGTTGACGTCTCGCCCTTTCAGAGGTAGTAGAAGCCGACCTACCATGCTCTCCTCCAACTCCCGCACCCATGGCCCAGACTCAGATACATCCCCGACAAGCAAGCTTACCCTCCGCCCCTCCGACAGCCCTATCCCCATAGACTCTTGTTGATTCTCCTCCGGCGCCCTGGTTGCTAGGATTTCATCACTCCCATTCCCAGTTGTAACTCCCTCTGGACACTCCCCTAATCGTGCAGCAGCATTCAAAAGCCTCTGTTGTGATCGACCAACGAGTATAATTCTCTCTGCGCCTTCTTGCAGAAACCGATCTGCGATTGCGTATCCGATTCCCGATGTCGCGCCGGTGATCATGCATGTGCGACCGGAGAGGCGACCGGAGGGGTTGAATCGGGATTGCCGTTGTTGTTGGTTTTTTGTTTGGTCATTGGAGCTTGTGGAAGAGGAGTAAGCTCTTTTGAGGAGGGACAATCCTAGAAACGGTGCTTGGATAGGGCGCAATTGGTGTAATGCTGTTGCGGTTGCTCCGCGGAGGCGGGGGAGAGATTGGAGATAGGACATTGTATTGATTAAACCATGAGCAGTAATGATAAATCGATTAATCCTTCGGGGTATCAAGAGTAATAGATATGTTCAAAACTATACAGAGGACGAACAGAGAACATTGTAGCAGAACCCATACCGATAAGGAAAGACGTCACAGGAATAATTCCGCCGGAGCTTGACTGAGCACGGGCCACATCGGAATAATCCATGGAAACACCGTTTTTCTCCAACTCTTTTCCTTTTCCTCCTCTCTACATACAAGCACAAGCGAGTAACAACATGTCAACACAGGCACAACAAGAATACGTGACTCTTATCTCTGGCGACGGCTTCGAGTTCGTCGTCCCGCGCAGCACAGCCTGTGTTTCGGGGACAATACGCCGCATGCTAGACCCATCCAGTATGCTCCTGACCTTTCTATTCGTTTACTTCCCTCGCTTGCTCTGTGACATTTGCTAACCACATATTACGAATAGGCAACTTCTCAGAAGCCATCACAGGACGCTGCGTCCTCGAAACCCTGAGCGGCGTGGTCCTGGAGAAAGTATGCGAGTACTTCTGCTACAATCAGAAGAACAAGGAGCAGGCGAATGTGCCGGATATGGAGATCCCGCCGGAGCTGTGCTTGGAGTTGTTGATGGCGGCGGATTATTTGGATACCTAGGTGTGCTTGGTGTGTCTGTTTACTGTGGACTGGAGGGGTTTGGTGCTGACGGTTGACAGGCAAGGCTTGCTCTGGGATTGATGATTTATGATTCGTATGACTTTTGCTGCATTGCATTTTATACATAATGGGGATTGGAGTTTGCGGCTCTATGCTGGATGGCGTTGGGTTTGGATAATCGAAGGCTACAGCCAGGTTAATTGAGAACGATGTTTCGTTCCCCGTTCCAATCTCTACTAGGATGCAGTGGAACATCTTGTTTACTGTTGACGCCATCAGAACATCTACATCCGTCCCTCGTCCCCCCAATCTAATTTATGGACGGGTGTTCTAAAGATGATGGCAGATTAATCGCATGACAACTCCCTTTTATTCGGTCCTCATCCGTTCAGTGGATATCAGGGCCTTATTCCAGGGGAGACATGCATATCTTCTTCTTATTCCATAGAAACGGTATCAACTTTTGTTCCGGGGTATCTATCTAATGCAAGTCATCACTTAGAAGAAAGAAACTTATTTCTTGGGCCGCGGCCGAAACCCTCCCTTCTTAGGACCCGGCGGCTTCTCCGCATAAACCTTCTCTTTCCCAAACGCCGCATCCCCAACTCTCAGAAAACTAACGACGCCCTGATCCACGACTGCAAGAATCACATTTCGGTACCCGTGCCGGAGACGCATGTACATCATGCGATCCATCTTCTCGCCGCGCGGGGGGTCTAACGGTGTGCTTTCGAGGAGTGCGCCGAGCTGGGATAGCGTTGGCATGGTGGTTTGGGTTCTGGAGTTGACAACTGCGATTCTGAAGTCGGAGGTTGGAGGAGCGGATTTGCGGAATGCGGTTGAGGGTTTGTAGACGTGGAAAACGACGCGGAAGGGGGGAGTTGTTTTGCGACGAGGAGATTGGGGTGTGACGGGGTCGTGGTAGGGGATGACGGCGAGTTTGCGGTAGATGGCGTCTGGGTTTAGTTAGAATCGATGCGTTTCGTAACGTGGGAGAATGGAATGCTTACTGTAACTCCGGTGTAAACCCAATCCCACCACAGGACCGGTAGTCGTAATCCCTGTCGAACTATTCCAGTTATGCAACCAATGCAGGAATCGACCAAAAATCCCTAGACCCTGCTGCGGCGCACTCTCCTCATTTTGCACCTCATCACTCTCATCATCCCACCCCGGCGCCCGAATAACCGTATACCCAAGCCGCCTCAATCCAGTATATACCGAAAACCGCTCCACGGACAACCCCCCTCTCCCAGTAAAGCACGCATACGCCGCCTGCAAACTCATCGGGATCCCCAAATCTTCTTCACCTTCTTCAGCGGTAGGTCCTGTAACTGATACCGGCCACCTGATATCCAGACTCCCACGTTCAATGAGATACAGCGCTTCTTCGGGTAACAGCCATACCCGGTTCCAGCGATCTGCCCGGCCCATTGATTTAAAGTATTGACCCTTGGGGTTGGGGACGTATACGCATGAGTCCGCAGGGACACCTATCCCTGTTCCTGCATCTGCGCTTGTTTCTTTCTTTGGATTTTGCTCCTCGTCGTCGTTCGTAGCAGTCTCCTTCTCGTCTTTCTCTTCACTCACGTTGGTCGCAGGCGGCGCAGGTCCATCGGGTGCATAATACGCAATAACTCGATGCTTGGGATGATGTAACCGCGGATGCGAAAGCGCATTGTGCATCGCCTGACGCGACGCATCGAGGATATCGGCCTGGTAGTTTGTAGGATTTGGTTCGAAGTCTTTTTCGCCGCGGCGGGGGAGGGATGTTTGCGATGAGTCGGAGGGGCTGTACGGTCATTATTGTGAGAATGGGCTCTTTTCTAAACTTTGCAACTGGTGTAAATGCAGCGGAGGAGCTCACAAGGCAAGGTTATTCAGGAATCTGAAGTCCTGCGTCTCGTCGGACAGGTCGGTTTCGATTTGCGGTGCGGAGTCCTGCGAGGCTGGGAGGTGGGCTGCCGCTTCGTCTGTATCAGCCATTGTTCTTTTCTCTTTTTTGTTATTTCTTTCTCTGATAATCTGTAGATATATTGAACAAATAGGTCCTTGGTTGAGAACGCAGAATGCGGGGAGTATGCTGAGTTGGAAAAGGAAGAATTTACGGGCTTATCGCAGCGGCGATAGGAATTCTAGTGGGCCGAATGAAGGCACGCCGGCAACAAATTTGGCCATCACCATCACTTACTAGGTGCTTCCTCCAGTTGAGTCTTACATTCATTTCATATTGAGCAGTAAATTCAGAAACAGATTAAATTCCTTTGGTCTGCGTCCATCGCGGTCTGCGGCACCTGCGTTCCTTATCCCAAGACCCATGCTGCCCATTGTAAAATAGCCCTGGAATATACCTCTGGGAAAATCTCGCAGAGAGCTTTCAGCTTCATTTGACTGGACCCAGAGCTCAGTGCTAAGATATCCGCGGCCTTAGACTTATTTCTTCATGACCCTCATTTGCCCTTGTTTGAGATGACTTCCATGCATTGTGTAATAAATATGGTTACGCTCAGGGCAATAACCGTAGGTGGGTGAACGTTGGTGTCATGGTGAAGACTGTTATCGCTCTCTGGGTCCTTTCAAAGACGTTTTAATATCATCCGAGGTCGTTATCTGCTTGCCTTCAGCGAGTTACGCGAGAGGTTAGAACGACCAGTCCCCATTGTGTATGTTGTCTCTGGACAGACAGCCGCTTTGCGTAAAAGTGCTTCCTGTTGAGGTGCTCTCTCCTTTCAAGTAGGTACTTGGTAGTTTCTGTATGTCTGACTTGGTAGATCAGAGGTGTGCCAATATATACCCACCCTGGTTGAGCTAGCCTTCTTTAGATTTTCTTTCAGGGCAATGCAATTGCCTTACCAACGCTTGGAGACCGTAGGCATGGTTTCCTAAAACTGTCTCAGTGAAAACATATATTCACCAGGATATATTACTATCCTAGAAATACGGCTATAGAGATTATGACGATGTCCATCTTACCACATTCACTTACAAATTACTCCATGATATACGCTGTACAGCTAAAAAAAAAAAAAAAAGTAAAATGCTCATGGAAGCAGGATGCATATGTTCATGTACAATTGCTGCTCCACCGCAGTGCATCCCGAATATGAAAGACTGCCCTATGGCCTGAGATTTAAATATGTATAAAGAATGGAAGAGTAAAAAAAAAAAAAAAAAAAAAAATTATGAGATTGCGCAGTGAATGATCGCAGCTCCTACACCGGTGTATATACCCGTCCAGCGAGCAGGTAGGGCTGTGACAGAGGAGCACTTGAGACTCAATTCCTCTCGACCATCCGTCTCATGACATTGATTATATGTACGGATTTTCCCTCATAAGTTTGCTTTCTGAAAAGACGGCTGCCTGGAACTGCAGGGATTCATAGTTATACGAAGTAGAAGAAGACGATGACATATGATTAGAGACACCAGAATGTATGAGTCAGAACTTGTGACGGCTCAACGGCTCAACGCCAGACAAACAGCGCCAACATATCAAACGATGCCATACAAGCAATATGGGCAAACAAGGGCTTAAGCCGCACCACACAAATGCCTATAAAGACCGTTCATCGCCTAGATAGATTTCCTTTTCTTCTTCTTCCCCAGATTCGATATTCTCGTTGTTAGGCTACCTAGTCCAGATATGAATATTATTCGTTTTATCTGCTAGTTTCCGAGCCCGTGACAGAACTAGAGTATAAGAGGGCAACATGGCCATATCTATAGCTCAGCGAGTATGTATCTAGAATGTTTCATATAGCTGCAAGAAGAGCAGGCATTCTGCTTGAGTACAAGCGGATATACGCCTACAAGAACCAGATAAAATAGTCTATAAAGGTAGTGGATATCCGGGTTTATCGAAGGCCGGGCAAGATATATAGATCCTCATGCAATCTACACTATTCCACCATGCGCGTATGCAGAGTATACAGACGTTCATGGAGAAAACCAACTTCTTCATACATACAAAAAGATGAACTAACATCACTATGGATAAGAACGACAAAGAGCAGTCTAGAGGTAGTGGATATGTGGGAAGGTCGGACAAGATAGATATATTCTCAACTATTCTGCATTCTACCTCGTGTATACATAGAATCTATAAGCATCGTAGAAGAAATCGACTTCTCCACATGTATATACAAGCAGATAAACTTATATCACTATCTTATCGAGTCATGTATGTATACTACAACACGGCCCACCGCAGCCCATATCGAATACGGAAGACTTCCATTTGTCCGAAACCACATCTCTACAGATAACACAGAATACAATGTAGTCTGAGTATTTCAAGAGGACTTGTAGTCTGTGTCATAATTACACGGAGTTTTATCGAAAAAAATATAGACAGCTTATCCAACCTGCACGGCAAATATGTACGCCCCTCATACATACATACATGCCGCATAGCCCTAACATCCACTCTATGCCAAAGTCCAATGCAATACCATCTCAAAACCAACACACAAAACAAAACAAAAACAGACACAAACACAACACCGTCAAAATAAACTCTCCAACGCACCAAGGCCCGCCCCGACTGACACACGGACACGCAACTACTCAACCGTCCCACCTCGGAAACCTCCGTCATCTCGGACGTGCGGAAGACGTTGGCCCCTCTCATTCTCCCCTTCCTCTCCCCCGGGACAACGTGCCTGTGCCTGTCAATCAGGGGGGCTTGTGTGGACCGATCGATCTTGATCCTTCCCGTGCCGTTTGAATTTAGTTTTGATCTTGGATCCGTGTGGGTGGGGGGGGGGTGCTTATTTGGACGTTGAGGTTGATGGTAATACAGCGTTTGTACAGGGTCACGTGAGGGGTTTGTGAGGTGTATTTTTTGATTTCGCTTATTTCCTGCTTATTCTCGTCCTTTCTTTCTTTTTATTCATGGCTATTTGTTTACCCGGAAACATAGTAAGTATTGAAGTCATCATATTATCGACTAGCTCAAGTCTAGAAATTTACGGTCCACACCAGTCATCATTTTAATCGACAAAAACGAAAAAGATATCGTACCATGCCATGCGTTTGAAACAAGCCCAGGAATTAAACAATAGAAAGAAAACATAAACAAAACATATAACATGAAATGAAAGAAATTAAGCACCGAACTCCTTGACATCCGTCTTCTTCCCACAGAGAGCCAATGGCACAATACCACTGACGTGCATCTCGGGACCGTAGACGTGCATGTCAAGGCTAAGCTCCTCACCAACGGCCTTGATGTTCTTCAGACCCTCCTGGTAGTTGGGACCAGCACGGCGGACCCAAATCTGGACCTTGTGCTCGTTGAAGGTAGTGGCGACCTCCCGCAGAGCGCGGATGACACCCTTGAAGGTGGAAGCAACGTTGGTGAAGTTGGCAATACCGCCACCGATGAAGAGGACCTTGCCCTCGGGGTGAGTGGGGGCGCGCAGCAAGAGGTCGAAGACGGTACGGGCGTAGTTGTAGGTTTGAGTCTCGGTGGGAGCACCCGAGTACTCACCGTAGTTGGCGAGCTCACTGACAAAACCAGCGGAGGCAATGGCATCCGCGTAGACGACGGAAGCACCACCACCGGCAACGAGAGTCCAGACACGACCGCTGGGGTTGAGGACAGTGAGCTTGAGCGAGGCACCGGTCTTAGCGTCCATGTCGGAGATGAACTTCTCCTCCTTGCTCATCTCACGACCGAAAGGAGCGGGGAAATCCAAGGGAGGACCAGCGTCGATGTTGACCTTGTCGGCCTGGGGAGCGGTGGCCAGGCCCAGGTTGGCAGGGCTGCGGGCAATGGCCCACTTGGTACCACACTCGAACTCGGCCGTCTGGTCCAGCTTGGCGGCCAAGTCAAGGAAGTGCACTTCGGCAGAGGTACCCTCGGCGTTGGGGATGACGACCAAGGGGTTGATCTCGAGGTAGGTGAACTGAGAGTCCACGTAGACGGCGTAGAGACGGGAGATGAAGTCAACGAGGACGTTGTGAACACCCTCGGGGACCTTGTTCAGGAGGGCCTTGGCGATCTCCTCGTTGGAGGGGTAGTTCTTGAGGTTGACGGGGATGAGCAGCTTTTCAGCCTTAGCGTCGACATCACCAACATCGACACCACCCTCGTGGGTGAAGAGGATCCAGTCGCCCTACACTTGTTAGCTCTTGACCATCTTATACCTCTTGTATGAGCGAGTGACTTACCTCACGAACAGAGTGGATGTTGATGTAGTATTCGGTCTCTTGAGGGTGAGGAACGAAGGGCTCGACAAGGAACTGACGGAGGACACCAGTGACGGTCTCAACCTGGACTTCCTTTGCGGCACGAGCCTCAATCCATTCCCTAGCCTCAGCCCAGGTCTTGTTGAGACCAAGGAGACCGCTCTTGCCACGGCGCTTGATCAATTGGTCGGGTTTGGCAACGAACTTGGAGCCGGGAGTGAGGAGCCAAGGGTAGGTGACCTCAGCCTGGTCAAGGACATCCTTCACAGCAAGGTCGTCGGGGAAATAGAGAGAAGCGAGTCTGGAAGGAGGGTTGTGGGTGGTGGAGGGAGGGAGCGGAGTAGGCTTGATGACGGGAGCGCGAGTGAGGTGGTAGTTGAGGATGGCCTTTCCGTCGGCCTCGAGAATGGACTTAGCAGACATTGTGAGGTATTAGATGTAGTAAAGATAAAGAGTAGAGTAGAGGGGTATAGAGGAGGAGAGCAAGTAAGAGGGAGAGAGGAGGTATATGGCAACAGAAGTGGTAGAAGTAGGAGTAGAAGTAGAAAAGAAGTAGAAGAGGAGGGATGAGAAGGAGATAGAGAGAGGGAACAGAAGAGAGAATAGAAAGGAGGAACAGAGGCCGATCCAGGAGAATTTGTTACCGTCGCAAAACGGTACAGTTAGGAAAATGACATGTTTTTTTGGATTCAGTGGGGTAGGCGGTGACCCACTTTGATTGTTGAGATTCACGGTGGAGCCATCACACTAAACCTAGTTTGGGCGTGGGATCATGAGTACCGAGTACTTTCTCTCACATGTGTCCAGGTATTTCATAGGACTACTCCGGCATATCAACGTGGTCAATTGCTGGTAAGTAATGTATGTAATGTATATTACTACAGTATTATATCATATAAAGTGTCAATTGATTGATAGTGAAGAATTATACTATCTATGTACTGTATACTGGTACAAGTGTGCGTTGTAAACTCTGATATGGCCATGCATGGTCCGGATTGTTGGGTTGCAACACAGGGGACGAAACGGAAGGAATGGAGCCTGGTATTGCGTGTTTTTTTCTGGCTGGTGGACAGGTAATTTCGCTTTTTGCAAGTGTGCTCTTGTATACAGTGTAGCCGTGATACCACACAGTCGGACGAGTCCGTACGGAGCACGGAATAGTTCTGCTTTTTCTTACTGCTGACTGTATCCATATACTGTATTCAATTGATATTGTACATTCCAACGATTCTAGAATATTCATTATCACAGCCCTCTAGCAGTAGATACAGTAGATACCACCTCTGTACTACTGTAAAAGTATATACTTCTACCCTGTAAACAATCGATAAGATAGGCGGTCAACCGCGGGGTGGTTTGAGCCCCAACCAGCGGTGGATCCGCGATTGACACACGGTTTGTTGAGCAGTATCAAATTTACAGAGTATTCGCCAGTCTGTTGGTATGCTGTTATTTTTGTATTGTTCCCCGATATCGTCGTCACAGCCAGCATCCCATCCTCTCCCTCCATCTTTCTTCTTCTTCTTCTCTCCTGTCCATCTTTTTTCTCTCTCCCACCCCCCTGACCATCCTCCTTTCTCTCTTCTCTTCTTCTTCTTTTTAGTATCAGGGAAAAACCCCCCATCTTTCATCTTTTGTTTTCATCTTTTTACATCTATCTACCTACCCACTTAATATAATCCTCAGGTATGTACCAGCTCTCTACTGCTCTTGTGCTCAACTAACATCCATTCTGTATAGCCATCATGCCCGAGTCTGCTCCTCTGGCCAGCACTGCCAATGGCTTGCAGTCGGCCAACGACAATATCACCCGTTTCAGCCCCCCCAGCCGTGTGCTCTCTCCCCTCTCTCACACCCTCTTCCACAACAAGACACGATGCTTCGTATAGTAAGTCGACCGCAACGAAACAATCATGAGGGTCAAAAGTCAGGACTGACTTGAGCAGTGGTATGCAGCCCAAGGCCGTCCAGGGTATGCTAGACTTTGACTTCATCTGCAAGCGGAGCACCCCCTCCGTCGCCGGTATCATCTACACCTTCGGTGGCCAGTTCGTCAGCAAGATGTACTGGGGTACCAGCGAGACCCTCCTTCCCGTTTACCAGGACGTCACCAAGGCCATCGCCAAGCACTCCGACGTCGACACCGTCGTCAACTTCGCTTCTTCCCGTTCCGTCTACAGCTCTACCATGGAATTGATGAACTGCCCCCAGATCAAGTCCATTGCTATCATTGCAGAGGGTGTTCCTGAGCGTGTATGTTCTGTCTCCCCGTTGAAAGTCGATATCTAGCTAACGAGACCAGCGTGCTCGTGAAATCCTTGTCACCGCCAAGGAGAAGGGCATCACCATCATTGGCCCCGCTACCGTCGGTGGTATCAAGCCCGGTGCCTACAAGATCGGTAACACTGGTGGTATGATGGACAACATTGTTGCCTCCAAGCTCTACCGCAAGGGTTCCGTTGGCTACGTCTCCAAGTCTGGTGGTATGTCCAACGAGTTGAACAACATCGTCTCCCAGAACACCGACGGTGTCTACGAGGGTGTGGCCATCGGAGGTGACCGTTACCCCGGTACCACTTTCATCGACCACCTACTCCGCTTCCAGAACGAGCCTGAGTGCAAGGTCCTCTTGCTGCTCGGTGAAGTCGGTGGTGTCGAGGAATATCGTGTCATTGAGGCCGTCAAGAACGGTACCATCACCAAGCCCATCGTTGCTTGGGCCATTGGTACTTGCGCTGGCATGTTCAAGACCGAGGTCCAGTTCGGTCACGCTGGTGCCTCCGCCAACTCTGACCTGGAGACCGCCATTGCCAAGAACAAGGCCATGCGTGAAGCTGGCATTCACGTTCCCGACACCTTCGAGGACATGCCTGAGTTGTTGAGCAAGGTCTACAAGGACTTGGTCGCCAGCGGCACCATCAAGCCCCAGACCGAGCCCATCGTCCCCAAGATCCCCATTGACTACTCGTGGGCCCAGGAGCTGGGTCTCGTCCGTAAGCCCGCTGCCTTCATCTCCACCATCTCCGACGACCGTGGCCAGGAGCTCCTCTACGCCGGTATGCCCATCTCCGATGTCTTCAAGGAGGACATTGGTATCGGTGGTGTCATGTCGCTTCTGTGGTTCCGCCGCCGCCTCCCTGCCTACGCCGGCAAGTTCTTGGAGATGGTTCTCATGCTTACTGCCGACCACGGTCCCGCTGTCTCTGGTGCCATGAACACCATCATCACCACTCGTGCCGGCAAGGACCTCATCTCCGCTCTCGTCTCCGGTCTGCTGACCATTGGTTCTCGTTTCGGTGGTGCCCTGGACGGTGCTGCTGAGGAGTTCACCAAGGCCTTTGACAAGGGCATGAGCCCTCGTGACTTTGTCGACACCATGAGAAAGGAGAACAAGCTCATCCCCGGTATCGGCCACCGTGTCAAGTCCCGCAACAACCCTGACCTCCGTGTTGAGCTGGTCAAGGAGTTTGTCAAGAAGAACTTCCCCAGCACCAAGCTGCTCGACTACGCCATTGCTGTCGAGACTGTCACCACCTCCAAGAAGGACAACCTCATCCTGAACGTTGACGGTTGCGTTGCTGTCTGCTTCGTCGACCTCATGCGCAACTGCGGTGCCTTCTCTGGCGAGGAGGTTGAGGACTACATGAAGATGGGTGTCCTCAACGGTCTCTTCGTCCTGGGCCGTAGCATCGGTCTGATTGCCCACTACCTCGACCAGAAGCGTCTCCGCACTGGTCTGTACCGTCACCCTTGGGATGACATCACCTACCTCCTGCCCAGCTTGCAGAAGGGTGGTGCCGAGGGCCGTGTCGAGGTCAGCATTTAATTTCGTTTTACGTGATATCTCCTTGTTTTCGTCTTTGTTTGGGCAGCGACCCGGGATATCCTGGGATAATGTGCCGAAAATTTCTTCTGTGTATCGACATTGGAGTTCTGATGGTTTCTTTTCATTTCTTTGCATGGTTTATATCATCGTATCTGTTTTATACTCTAGTGCGCACATGTGGCATGACAAATAATCATGAATTTAGATGGATTCCAGACTTTTGACTGTAGAAATTCGAATGTAGAAGTGTTGAATCCTAGGGGGAAATGCTATGCGTCGTCTTATAGATCCATACTACAATCTGATTGGCCGAAGCTCCGGTCCCATTTTCCATCGGATCTCCGATAAAAGTTCATCTTCAACTCACCACCACAAACCAATTAACTCAAGCAAATCGAAACAAAATGGTCCGCTTAAAACAACGCTACCTTCTCCTCGACATCCTTTACCCCGATCCCTCCTCATGGCCTAAATCAATCCCCGACGACGCAAATCCGGAAGCAAACAACCACCTCCGCATCCACTCCCCAACAGCAGATACATTATCCCCCGGCCTCCTGGCAAAGTTAATCCGCGAACAAGTCTCAGAGCTTTTCGGTGATTGGGGAGTCGGTAGACTTGGTGGTTCTAATGCCGGTGGTGTTAGCGGTATGTCCCCATCTCTTCTCATTTACTCTATGGTCATGGGTTGCGAATGCAAATACTAATGGTCTTGGTGCAACAGTGAAGTATTTATCCCCCGCAACATCAACAGCCATAATCCGCTGCCCGCGCGCATCCTACCGCCTCGTCTGGACGGCTATCACACATCTCTCGCATGTCCCCGAATACACACCCGGCTCTGGCTACGCCGGGAAACGCGCCGGCGCGATGAATAGACCGTGCGTGTTTCGCGTGATTAGGGTCTCCGGGACGATGAGAAAGGCGGAGGAGGAGGCGATTAGACGAGGGAGGAGGGAGGTTGCGAGGGTTAGGGGGGTTAAGGAGGGAGTTGTGCTGGGTGGTTTGTTTGGGGCTGGGGTTGAGGATGTTGATATGGATGATGATGATAATGGAGATGATTCGGATTGATTGATTAACTGTACATGTCATTTATATTATTGAGATACCCATAATGCGTTACTTTCGTACAACTTTTATCCCGCTATCTGGTAACGGTCCTTTGAAATCTGCCAGCTCGTCGTCCTCGTCTGTCGCCGGAAGTTGCTGATTCTGTTCTCTAGTCCAGGCAGCCTCCTCCTCCAACTCCCCCAACTCCTTCTCATCATACTCATCCTTCGCATCCAGCCATCTCTCCTGCACATCCCGCACATCCATACTTCCCAACCCCTCCCTAACAGCAACCTGCCAAATACTATCATTCGCCCCCTCCGCCGGCCCAAACGCATACCCCCCCGCCCGATCAATCTGCCTCAACAAACTCATCATGCTTTTCTTATCCTCCACAGCCAGCGTCTCAAACCCCACCAGCCCAAACTCCTCAATCAAGTCGATAATCGCATTATTCAACGGCCCGAACTTCTCGTGCGATAAGCGCGAGGACTCGGCTTCCAGGTGCGGGAGGAGGTAGTTTAGGTCTTGGACTTCGGTGTAGAAATCGAGGTTGAAGGGGAGGGGGGCGTAGTTGGAGAGGTTGTCGATTTTGGTGAGCACGTTTAGGTGCGGGAGGTCCATTTGGAGCATTGCGCGGAGGGAAAGGAGGAGTGCGGAGATGTACATTGAGGGGAGTGTTAGGGTGTAGGAGTCGATTAGGTGGATTACTATCAGCTGCTGGGGTTAGTAGTGGTTCGGTTGACTAGAGGGGAGGCGTACTCTATATCCCATTTTCTGGAGCTTGAAGAAGATATTCCGTAACGAGGCGTGGTGTGTGAATAGCTCGACTTGTCCGGGGCAATCGAATAGAACATAGTCATCTATACAAATTAGCTTCTTTCCCTCCATGTATCCCAGTTGAGAGAATGTACCTCCAAGCTCCTTCAACCCCTCCTCCAAGAACTCAAAGTTCTGCTCCAATTCCTCCAGCGCATACAACACACCCCCATTCGGCCCAAGCTTATCCTCTCCCATGATCTCCTCCAGCGTCACCAAATCCCGCACGTCCAGCGCACACGGATACGACGTCTGATCGTTCGCAGGGTCCAGATTAACAATCGAGCATTTGCGGCCGATGGCGCCGAGGAACTGGTGCATGCCGTTGCAATATGTTGATTTGCCCGCGCCGGGCGGGCCGATGACTAGTTGCGCGAAGGGCATTCTTCCGTATGAGCAATAAAGATATAAATATTATAGATGAATGAAATCAGATGTTTGTTTGATAGAGGCGGGGAGAAATAATATGGCGGTGAATCGCGGCAGAAAACGATCTTCAGTTCGATGACGACGGAACAATCTCCAACAACAACCGCATAAACACCGAAGAGTTAGCAAGTTCAGTCCGGTGCAGTGCACAACCATGGCGTCAAGTAGGTTACTACCCCATGCTATTTTGCTTCTTGGAAATGACCATATGCTAACAATTCAGATCAATTCACCGTCGCTTCTCCGCCGTCCGATGCCATCTCCGCCCTCAAGTTCTCGCCAGATCCGGAGTCTACACAATTCGTCGTGTCGTCGTGGGATAAGAATGTCTATTTGTATGACCTGCGCGATGAGAACGGGAATGTAGGAGAGGGGAAGTTGTTGCAGAGGTTTGAGCATCGCGCGCCGGTGCTGGATGTTTGTTATGGCGCGAATGACAATGAGGTTTATACGGCTGGGTTGGATTGGGATGTTAGGAGGTGAGCATCCTTCTATTTGGATTGATTGTGGTCTTGGTCACTGGGAGGCTAACGGCTACAGAATAAACCTAGCAACATCCGAACAAACCGTCCTCAGCAGCCACGACGCCGGTGTCCGCAACGTCGTCTACAGCAAAGAACATTCATTAGTCGTCTCTGCCTCCTGGGACTCAACATTACACGTGCATCGCGTCGATACAACGGCAGACATCCCCTCTGCCACCGTACCCCTCCCTTCCAAACCCTTCTCCATTTCCCTCACAGCCACTAAGCTCGTCGTCGCCATGGCCTCGCGCTCCCTCCATATCTACGACCTCAAGGCATTGGCCCTTCTCACCGAGGAATCCGGCGAGGTAATCAATAACAAGATTGAGGTCGAGCCGTGGCAGCGCCGGGAAAGCAGTCTGAAGTTTATGACGCGCTGTGTCGCCTGCATGCCGAATGACGATGGATACGCCTCGTCTAGTATCGAGGGCCGTGTTGCGGTGGAATGGTTCGACCCGTCGCCTGAGTCACAGGCCCGCAAGTATGCGTTCAAGTGTCATCGACAGGCTGCGGAGGATGTTGATGTTGTATACCCCGTGAATGCATTGGCGTTCCATCCGGTTTACGGGACTTTTGCGTCTGGTGGTGGGGACGGTGTTGTTGCGCTGTGGGACGGAATCGCGAAGCGGAGGATCAGGCAGTACCAGAAGTATCCGTCGAGTGTTGCGGCTGTGGGTTTCAGTGGGAACGGGAAGTACCTGGCTATCGCGGTTAGTCCGAATTTCGAAGATGGGAAGGATGATCTCGCAGAGGGGTCTGTGAACATCCATGTGCGGGAGTTGGGAGAGACAGAAGCAAAGGGGAAGGGTGCCAAATAACGACTGGTAATATAGATCTCTTGTCACTTATAATGCTTACTGGCGAATGGATTGGTGTTTTCTTACGAGTTACGTCGATATACCTGATATTCAAACGAGAACGATGGTATCACATATGTACAAGAATTCCTAATCTTTTTTAGAGATGCCCAAACATCTACTGCTGCGCATGCCTGACAGCCACAGTACCGTCAGTCATACCAAAGTAAGCAGCCACGGGCTTCTGACCACCAATGCCGCCCGTAGCCTGCGCCTGCGGGCCATTCAAGCCATAGAAAACACCAACTTCCAACACACCAGCAATGCTCTTGATCGCGTGAGCCAGGTTCTCAACCTCCCACACACCATCCTTTCCGCTGCCGTTGTTGCCGGCCTCGACATCGCCCTTGGTGAGAAGCGGCTTGAAGGGAGCGTCGATGATGAAGAAGTCCTGGTCGCTCTTCAGGGGACCTTCCTTGGGGCTTGAGCTGAGGCGGACCATGGGGTTGATACTGCCGAGTTCCTTGAGCTTGGTCAGGACGCGGCGCGCGGCGATGGGGGCGACCTCGATTGGGATGTATTTCCAGCTCGAGAGGAGGCGGGGTTGAAGTTTTCGCGAGTCTGCATTGATTAGCATCGAGCCTTCTATACTAGTAGGGCAAACTCACCAGCAACGCAAATGAACTCCTTCGCCTGCAACGCCACAATCTTCTCCTGGAACAAACAAGCACCACCACCCTTGATCAAATTCAAATCATCATCCACCTCATCCGCCCCGTCAAACGCAATATCCAACACCGTGCCCTCCGGGATAGAATCGAACTCGATAGGCGTCAGACCAGCCTCGACAATGAGCTGCTTGGACTGGAATCCTGTGGGCACGTATTTGGTCATGGAGGTGTCGATGTCGAGTTCGTTGATCGCTTCGATCACATACTGGATCGTCGAGCCGCTGCCGATACCAACCCATTTGGCGTCTTTGGGGTAGTGGTTGTTGACAGCGGTCTTACCGGCTGCGCGCTTTGCGGCTTCAATTTGGTCGGTCATTTTGGATGTGGATGCGGATGCGGATGTGTATGACTGGGTGCGGGGTCGGAACTGGGCGCAATACGCGGGAGCGCACGGAAGACGTAGATGAGTGTTAAGAAGAAGACGGAGCGAAGGAAGAGAAGGAGGAGAAGAAGAGGAGAAAGACAGGGACCGCAGCCTGTGAAACCAATCGAGTGGAACGACGCTATTAATACGGACTGAAGGGAACTGGGATCGCGTTTGCTTCGGAGGAGAATCTTCCCCGAGGGGTTTCTTTTTGGTGGGGGTGTACGAGCCAAGGAAGAGAGGGCTATGGGTGAAGGGAACTTAGATAGGCAACTTACACCGTGGGCAGACCACGCACAATATGTGTAGACATTTGTCTGTCTCTTTATATGCTCTATCCAGCAATTCTAACCCCCGGTAGCTTGCTATGGTAATCTTAAGCGCAACGCATTTGTGATACTTTGGCGGGGTGCATTGGCGTCATAGAATGCCTGAGGCAAGTACAGGTCTGTCGGATCAGGTGATTTCACGTGGTGATAGCTATCGCGCTGCGGAGTACAACATCACGCTATCAGCTCCAAGACAACTATCAAAGATTCTCGCTGACATATTACTCGGTCTGTTCATCAGCTCCACGACAAATGACGGACGCTTTCCCCAGAGCCCTGGCTGGGCCATCCTCGAAAGAGCGCAAGTATGACCGTCAGCTTCGACTCTGGGCTGCCAGCGGACAACAAGCGCTGGAGGAAGCTCAGGTGCTTTTAGTCAACTCCGATGGTCCCTGGGATAATGAGGGCACTGGTGTCTCGGGCGTCGTGGGTGTGGAGACGCTGAAGAATCTCGTCCTGCCTGGTATCGGAGGCTTCACCATCGTGGACCCAACGACGGTTACAGAGTCGGATCTAGGTGTCAACTTCTTTCTTGAGGAGGAGAGTCTGGGGAAGTCGAGGGCTGGGGAGACTTGTCGGTTGCTGAGAGAGCTGAACCCCGACGTGGAGGGAAATTTTCAGACCAAGGTAATGGCAACGCATGTGGTGTTTGTACAGGACGTGAAGCTGACGATGTATAGCCGATTGCAGAGCTCTTACAAGACGCAAACTTCCTAGGACAGTATAAACTGGTCTTGATCTCTGGTCCCTTGAAACGCTCATCTCTGAACGCTCTCTCCAACGGAGCCCGCGAACTTGGCATCCCGGTACTCTATACACACTCGGTTGGATTTTACTCGACATTCTCTCTCCAGCTCCCCGCCGAATTTCCCATAGTTGAAACACATCCCGACCCCGAAACGACACAAGACCTCCGCCTGGTGAACCCTTGGCCAGAGCTAGCAGAAGCTGGTGCGCAGATCATTAACCTGGATAGTTTGGATGACCACCAACACGGCCACGTACCATACGTTCTATTGCTTTTGCATTACCTCGAGCAGTGGAAGGCAGCACACAACGGCAATACGCCGTCCAATTACAAGGAGAAGACAGAGTTCAGAGAGATGGTGCGCGCTAGTGCTAGGATGAACAGTGCTGAAGGTGGAGAGGAGAATTATGATGAAGCTGCCGCTGCCGTGCTGAAATCGTTGACCCCATTCACTCTGCGCAGTACGCTCCGTGGGATCTTTGAGATGGAGGAGTGCAGGAATCTGAAGCCTGAGTCGAATAACTTCTGGATCATCGCGTCCGCCATTAATGAATTCTACCAGAAGTACCAGGTGCTTCCGCTACCCGGTTCGCTACCGGACATGAAGGCACAGTCGGCGGACTACGTTGCGCTTCAGAAAATCTACAAGACCAAGGCCAAGAAGGACGTGGAGGAAGTCACAGGAATCGTCAGACGGATAGAGTCCCAGCTGGGATCGCGGCCAAGCCCCGTTCCTGAAAAGGATATCGAGATCTTTTGCAAGAACGCAGCTCACATCAAGGTTGTCCTAGGCCGGAATATCCCGCAGCTGGACGAGGGAGATGAACACCTGTCCAAGACAGTTCGGAACAACCTAAGTGTAATCGAGGGCTTGCCCGAACCTCTCATGCCGATCTTCATCGCCTCCCAGATCCTGGATGCAATCGTCACTGACATCCAAGAGGGGAAGCAAGCGAGTGGATCTATCGATGACGAGGGAGTGTGGAGGGATCAGATTGATCGCTTTGTTGGTATTCTTCGGCGCAACGATCCGGCCGCTGTCGACGAAGACACGCAGCAACGTATCGTGGACGCCACTCAGGAACTCCGACGTACAGAAGGCGGCGAGCTCCACAATATCTCCGCTCTTACAGGTGGTCTAGTCGCGCAGGAGGCTCTCAAGGTTATCACGAGGCAGTACGGCCCGTTGGACAATACATGCATCTTTGATGGTGTCCGAAGCCGCACCGAGATGTACAGGCTGTGATCCGATTCTGTGACCGCGCATATCAAGGACGACGTGAATGCCTGTGGCTAGACTAATTGCTAGGAATGATTAACGAAACTGCTATGACCCAGCTCTTCTATTAGTTATCATTACCCAAAGTAGCAATCGGCATAGCCATGCAAACAAAGCAAACTGTACTGTCACATGTCTTGGCACTCGTAAGCGTTCGGATCGGCCTCGGAGACCCTGGGTGGAACTTCAACTCCCCGTATCCAACGGTCTCCAGAATGATGCTTTTCACACTCTTGTTTGTGATTTAGTTTTCTTTTGCTACATTCTGTTAATGTGATTCTTCTTGCTGGACAGGCGAATGACTCTCCCGCCGTGTATGTCCAGTGGGAGCTCTTCCGCATAACACAACGGATTCCCGCCAGCTGGTCGGGGTAATCGGACTGCAGCCACTATCATCAATTCACCATGGCCGGCATACAGGAGACAACAATGATGCCCAATACCCCTCCGGCTGCAAGTGCGTCGCTAGCAGCCGCGCAGAGCCTAGTAAATAACGTCTCCAACGTGACGACAACGAAATCCCTCCTATCCTCCTCACGCGACCTCCTCAGCGTCCCCTTTCGCGCCATCTACCGAGCAGATACATACGCTTTCTCAACACTCCCAAGACAAGTCGCGAAATTGGTTGGACTGGGGAACGTGGACGCACAGCTCATGGATGATACCACTGCTTCCGGGGGAGCTGTTGGGGGTGAAACAGTGGCGCGGGCCGCGGCGGAAACGGTCGTGGGTGAAGGCACTGCCGGTGCTGCGGCGGCTGCGGCTGGGCAGGAGTCGGGGTTTCATATTGCGGGTTTCTTCCATACGTTGAGAAGGCTCAGTGGGTTCTTTTCGTATCTGACGAGTCGGTGGTCGTTGGCCTGTTTTACGGTGGTGAGTGCAGACAGCTTATTTCGGAATGAAGGCGGCTGGGTCTAATAGATGTAGGCTCTTGTTTTGAACAGGATTACTATCTATGCGTCGACGAGACGACACTTGCATCTGCAATGGGATCGACGGTTAGCGTTGCGGATCATCCCCATCGTACTGTTCGTGTCTCAGATTGTCTCCCTCCTTCGAGCGATTCGTTGCCAGACATCACCAGATTATTCGCTTATACGTTACGGCTCGCCTGGAAAGGGTATGACGCTCGATCATGCCGGGGGTGGAGGCTTCTTGTATTCTCTGAGTTCGACGCTTCTACCGTGGGAGTCGGATCAAGGGTCATGCAGTGCGGTCAATATGGGCGCTCCGACCAACGCTTCGGAAATTCCGTACGGATCCTTTTCTCTTTTATGGCCGGTATTTTTGCGATTGTGCCTTAGCCACTTTGTCGAGACACTTTCTTGCGCGTTGCAGGGAAGGACTGTGGTCACGGAAGCGGGAATGTCCATTTTTGAGCACTCGCTCGCCTTCGCGGAGGCTGAATCTATCATCAGTCAATCCATCGGGCTGGGGATATTTGGTCTGCATAAGCATGGACGAAATGATACATCACTTTCCGCCGCCGCTGCGGCTTCTGCTGCTGCCGCGGCTGAGGGTGGACGTGCTTCGCTCCATGTACTTACCAGGTCACAGGTATTGGAGCGGATGAACGTGTCGCCTGAATTGCTTTTGATTGCTCTGATCTCTTGTTGCAACAGCTTGACGTCCAATCTTCTCGATGTCATCGGAAAGCAAAGCAGGTATCGTCTCGTCCACACTGCCTTCTGGGGCCTGTGTTTCATGGCTGCGATGATGTTCGGGCTTCTTGGCAATCCATTGGGCCACGAGGTTGGCTTTATGAAGTTCCCTACGGTCTGTATTGTTGGTTTCGTGCCACACCTGCTTATCTTATTTGGCATTCTTTCGTGTGTTGTGATATACGGACTAGCTCTTGTCATTACTGCATTTTCACTCCCTCTCGAAACTCCTCAGCCAGTCTCTCTACGAGAAAGGCTACAGCTCGCCCACGAAAACATGCAAGGCGTCAACCAGATTCGCAGTATTCGGTTCAATCGACATGAAGATTTCTACACTACGCTGCTAAGAATTGGCTATACAGCGTTGACTGCAGCTAGTGAGGCAGTCTTCCTCAACGAAGGGGGAGGTGTTGTTGCTAGAAAGATGACATGGTTAGAGGAAGACCGACTAGCAGAGATCGAGGCATCCCGAGGGCGAATCCCCGCCCAAAAGAATTGGAGTTCCTACGACACAGCGTTCAAAGGTATGGAGAACGTGAACTTCGACCTACCAGAAAGACCTCTAGAATGGGAAAGCGGGTATGGTCGCGAGAAGAAGATTGAACGGCCAAAGAACGGTTCTCGACCTGTTCGATCGCCAGCTGACCCGGGCGGTGTTGGCGCGTTCCGCGGGGCGACTAGAGCTTATCATGTGCTTTCGTTCTTTCGCGCTATCTTTTATCTTCTTGTGCAGTGGACGGCTTATGGGATCAACGCCCTATTGGACAGGCTGGGAATCCATGCCCGACCGCAGTGGTTGAAGGTTAAGTCACGGAAGAAAGGATCTCGAACAAGAAGCGATAACTCTACCGAACCGCTGGACTTCTGGATCCTAACGGATGGTGGGGAGCTCGAGTTACCCGAGGACAACGAATTTGACGTTGAGAATGAAATGCGGAAACGTGAACGCACTAATGCAGCGGATTGGGGACAGCCTGACGAGCGTCGTCTGGATGAGAGGCTCTACGGCTGGTGGAAGGCCGGTGGCTCCTGGGGAAACCAAGACCAGAGTCCTGACTACAATCCGCCAGAGATTGACGATTTCGATGATACAACAAGTGTGGTGTCGATGTCGACAAACGCCAGCGATTCGGAGTGGGAGGATGAATCTGACGGTCGTCGTACACCGACTCAGGCTGATCCATTCCCCGATAGCTTCTCCCGGGAGGGCACGCCACAACCAGATGCGTTAATGGACATTCGTTCTCTCGCACGTCTCCTTAATCCTCGCGATCGAGCCAGCAGGGAAGAAGCGCGGATCCTGGCCGCTCACCTTTCTGCTGATCGAGGCGGACGAATCCTGACTCGCCGTCAATTCCAAAGAGAATTAGAACATGAGAAAGCACAGATTCTATTATCTGCCCGTCTACCCCAGCTCGCCTCCGCACAGACACCCAACGATAAAAGAAAGCCAACACCAGACGAAGAGTCCGAAATGCTAGAGAACTTGATCCTCTCGCGACGCGCAGAGTCATTAACTCTTAGCACAGAACCCAACGGACAGAGCTGGGAAACCGGCGCTTCAGGACTTGGACCCGATGGCCCGCCATGTGTTGTCTGCCAGACGAGTCCTCGCTCAATTATCGCTTGGCCATGTCGGTGTCTGTGTGTATGCGAAGAATGCCGGGTGAGTCTTGCGATGAACAACTTTGGGAGCTGCGTGACTTGTCGACAAGAGGTCGCTGGGTTTATGCGGCTATGGGTGCCGTAGTCTTCGCTATATGTAATTTAGTCGGCGTTAGTGGGAATAATGTATATGAACTTAGGGTAAGCGTACATTTTTTCCAAGTCGAGACGTAAGACTGTAGTCCGTATTGGAATGGTATTGCTTTTTCTTTTCTTATTGCATTAAGCTCGTCCAACCCGACGGTTGTCATTATGGAATTCTCCTTCGGTTTGTCAGAATTCACCTCTCTCATCAAACGAGCCAAAGGGTTTGGCATAGCAACCATAGGTACAGTAAAACAGTGCAAAACAGCTTTATGCCTCCTCTCATTCACTGCTCACTGCTCCCCATTATTAAAACTTTCCCTTCAAACCAATTCCTTCTGCTCACTTTCAACTCTCTTCTTCTCTCCATTGTTCTCATTATCCTTTGTGATTTCCCCTTCTTCCTTTCACCCCATCGTTAGCAAGCACTTTATCCAACCAAGCCCTAATTTCTCTACTACTTTCTACAAACCTGATCCAAAATGTCTGATAATATCAAAACCACCTCCCCCAGCACCTCAGTTCCAGACTCCATCTCGCACGGCTGGGAGACCGTCAACAACAACCAAACCATCACCCCCTCTTTCTCCTCCCCCTCTGCGTCCAAAGCTGAATCTGACTCTGACGGCCCCGCCGTCGAACACATCGAAGATATCGCTAATTACACCGGTGATATCAATGCCGAAGAAGACCACGCCGTGATATCTGGCCCGCTCGCTGAACGTTTCGTTTCTGAAGCTATCACTACGACTCCCGCTGCTGCGGCGGCTGTTGCCTCTGAAGCTGTTACTGAGGACGCTGGAGCTGATGATGAAGTTGAGGATTGTGATGGTGACGCGGGTGCGCATGCGGCGTTGCACTTCTGGGAGAACGAGGCTGCGAGTGGTTATCGTGGTGATGCTGCTGCTGGAAAGCGTCCTGGTGTTTCGGAGGGAGAGTATGCTCAGGCTAGTTTGTCGGCTGAGAAGATGTTCGAGGTTAGGTTGAAGCGCATGCAGGAGATTATGGGGATGTATGAGGCTAAATGTTTGTATCCCTTTCCCCTCTTTGATGAATCGAAGCTAATAGAAACAGGGAGGGAGGCGTACGACCCAGAGCAGGACAAGAAAGAAGACGACTACTGGAACAAGTACATGGCCGGTCGCTCTATCTCTGCCATCGAGCCTGATTCCCCCGGTGTCGAGGACTCTGGTGCCCCCTCCCGTCGCCAGCAGTACGTCCAGGCTCGCCAGAACCGCTTAAGCTCTGTTCATGAGGGTAGTTCTAGTGCTGGTGCTAATGCCAGTGCCAGTACCAATACCCCTAGCCTTCCCATGCCGTCTCCTGTTCTCGCGAGGCGCCAGAGCTCTACTAGTGTCAGTAACGCTGATGTCTCCATCCCTATGCCCTCACCTGGCCGCCCAATGCGTGAGAGCCCTGCCCATGAGGCCAGTGCCAGTGCTACTGGTATCACCATCCCCACCCCGTCCCCTGACCTTTCGAGGCGCCAGAGCTCTGTCCGTGATGCTAGCCCCGGCAACATTGGCGTCGGTGTTTCGATCCCCTTTCCGTCCCCAGTCTCGTCACCTATTCGCACAAAGACATCGAATAGCGAAGCCTACGGTAAAGCACTGGCTTCCTTCGACGCTCTCTGCCAGAGCTTCAACGAGTGCGTTCAGCTCCAGGAGCGTGAGAACATGAACGCCGCCTCCAGTGCTACGGAAAACGAAGCCAGTAGCTCCAACGACGTCAACGTCAACATCAACATCAATATTAACATCAACGGTCATCGCAACGGCGATTCCAGCACCAGCGTCAACGGTAATGCCAACGGCACTGAGACCGACTTCCCCTGCGACTCCACCCGCAACAACGATCCGGACCAGGAGTATGACGCTGATGGCGAATCATCTGACCCTCTTGCTCTGGACGCGATGATTCCCCGCGAGCGCGCGAATCCGAGTTCGCCTGAGCCTGAGGCTGATAGTGGTTACGAGGAGGGTAATTAAATGTCATGATCTGGATTGGATATGACCTTTGTGGCTTCGGTAGTTAGGGCTTGTTTGCGCAGTCGTCTGGATATGGATGTACTTTCTTTCCTACGCTAATGGTCCCTGGAGTTGAGTATATGGGTATTGTGCTAAAGGAATTATGGGTATTTGGAGGACTTTAAGTGATGGGTATCTAATCGTCTGTTTTATGTGGGAATATATGGATAATGTCGATACGGATGGGCGCTTGTTGGCGCTGAATGTGCTGTACTTAATTTTTATCTTGAAAACAACCTGTTGAGAAATACACGGACTCGATAAAAGGAATGGTTAAGGAACGATTTTCAATTATTACACAGTAATAAAGAGCGTAACCCTTAGGCAACAGAGAATGATAATGAAACCATCAATATCAATACACATCCACTATCTCGACACTCCAAGCCTCATCTTAAGCAGCGTAAACAGCAGCAGCCGCAACAGCCGCAGCACCAGCAAGCGAACACTTCATGTTCGATGCAGCACCGGTGTAGAGAGGTGGCGCAATAGACGAGCCGGAGTTGCTAGACGATGCAGAAGCAGACGGGATAACGCCCGAAGACGAGCCCGTAGCCACAGCCGACGAGGAAGCGACAGCGGACGAAGGGGTGTCACCGACAGCAGGGGAGGAGTCAGACGACGCGGTAGCGGTGGCTTCAGAGTGGCCGACGTTGTTGCCGCCAACAGGGGGGAGGGAGATGGGGTGGCCGGCTGCGGAGCACTCCTGGATGACGGCGCTGGAGACGGCTGTTTTTCTGTTAGTTCTTGGTCATTTGGAATAGGTGGGTGGAGGATAGTTTACCGGACTGCTCAGCCTCGCTACAGGCCTTCTCCACGCAGGGAGTGATTTCCTCGGGGAGCTGGGGCTTGGTGCAGTGGCAGGCAAAGTCGGTCAGGTTGGAGCATCCATCGCTGCTTAGGGAATCAAGAAAGCATTGGAGCGAGCAGGAGGGAACATCGGGGATTTGAGCGCTGGCAAGGCCAGTGATGGCGAGAGCAGCGGTAACCTGAGTGAAACGCATTTTGATGATGATGGTCGATTAAGGATAGAGATCTGAAGTGCCGTAAAGTGACAGTTGGATGGTCTAACGAATGGCTGACTGCTGCTGGACTGAAGGACTGAGAAAGGTTGACGAGAGGACCCTTTTATAACCAAATCGGCCTGTTCCTGGTTGATTGTGGTACCCAGAGAGCAAAGTTAATCTAATCATATATAGCCGTGTATTTGAGGGCTAGCAGCGGCGGATTCTTTCACCCTTGCACAGGTTTGAGGCGACCATTCCCGGTCCACACTCGAAAAGGAGGATCTTCCAGCTGCAGCTGATTGAATGGGATTATGGACCTCACGCCACCTTCGTTCAACCTCGATATCGGGATGCAGGACATGGGTAGCAGACAAATGGTCAGTCAATAGTCGATGCCGGGCTGCAGTAGAAGTCAAATCGACACAAGCTTCTGAGACTCAAGCTCGCGTGGATTCCGATTTTTTCTCAAAGAAAGATACATGGAGCCTGCGTAGTGACTGGATGGCCAATTCCGGAAAACAACATTAGTCGGTAGCAGGTGCAGTGAGCACCCCACAGCCAAACCAAACAAAGTACTCCGTACAGTCCAGCTGAGGATCGAGAATCCGGGGAATAGGGACTAATTTCCAATTAAAGCTTGCAGGTTGTACAGCATTATCGCCCGGTGTGTCTAACTGAGCGAGTCAGGATGCGCCGTTGAGGCCCTGACGAATCCATGTTACAGTTTCAATGCAACCGTACAAAGACTTGTATATGGTGCATAACACTAGACCCTGGGGACGAATCAGCCAAGAGAGCTCGAGGGGTGATCCACGCGCATTGGACATGGATTTTGATAGTCGGGGTTTTCTTTGTACACACGTGTAGGATAACACCGCAATTTGAGATGGTTCTCGTTCTTTGTCCGCACGGCTACCACGGCCTTCTGGAAATTGGACAGTTCGTCTTCCATTCTGATGGTAAGCATTGCAGGTTATTCGGGCCCAAAAACATCCACATAACAGAGAGTGCCTGTGTTGGACAGATTCGCTTTTTCTGGAAATAAGCCCGCGCCAACAAACGTAGGCGACAGGGTCAATGCAGCGAATGTAACTCCCATAAATAGATAGCTGAATGTATGTTGTCGGACATCAGCGATTCCCACGAATATCCGTGAAACGCTCGGGCTGGCCTAGTCCTGGCCTTTGTTGCCAATCCTTTGACGGGGTTTGTTTCCAGGATGATCCGGGAGACAGTATTGTTCGGTGTCTTCGGCTTAAGGGTGGTTGCAGCGGCTTCCATCCCGCACGTAGCTGCATGTGCTCTGTCGGCTTGAGCTATTTGTTTTTGGGGATTTGAGGGCAAACGGGTAGAGTGCTGAGAATGCGTTGGGGTTAGCGCAGGTAGATTTCAATAATTGACGCCCAGGGGATTCTTTCACCTTAAGATGGGGCGTTCTTGGACCTTCTAGCGGCTTTCTGGAAGCTATGGGGGTCGAAACCCGTTGCTGATCAGTTGCCCATCAGTCAAATAGCTCAATTTATGATCCATTGGACTGATATTTGACAGTTTGTGGATGGAAATTGTTGTCGACGGTAAGAGATGTTGAAGAAATATTGCCCGGAAGATGGAGGGTGGACTATATAGATAGCACGCCATCACCATGCGCACCTTCCGTAATCTTCGAAACAAAGGTCCAGTCAAAAGCAAATTCTAATCAATTAACGAGTACTCTGTACAGCTATGTACAATATCCTCCAACGCCTTCTTCGTGAATATAACCATAACGCCAGTCCTACCAATAATGTACAGGTCCATGTTCATCTCCATTGTCAAAGTGTGACACTCGCATCACGACATAAGTTCATCCATATACGCCCTCTGCTTCACATCATCCTCGTGCTTCAACAACACCGCCAGAACCTCAAGAGGAGGGTTAAGATTCAACATATTCGCACGTCTCCAGCGCTTAATCCGAGCGATCCCTATGCACGGCTACAACAGTTAGCCACGACCGAAATCAATCAAACAGTAACAATATCAACATACCCCATACTGACTCGACAGATCAAAATGCCGTAAAATCTTTTCATGCAAACCAAGCTCCTCCTGATGCACTCTAGGCGCCTTCCTCTCCTCCTCCTCACCCTTCCAATACCGTACCAAATCCCCCTCCGAAACCTTCAGCGCCTTCTTATCCTCCTCGCCCCACGGCTGCTCCTTCGTCTCAACCTTTGCCTGTCCCCTAACCACAAGCTCTGCGGTATGCGGCTTCGATGGCTCCGCGGGGGTAACCGGGACCTGCTGTGGCTCTGCGACGCCGTTTGATGGCTGGGGTTTCTCGGGCTTGTGCTCTTCGGGAACGACGGAGGGCACTCGTTCTAGGGTCTTTGGTTTTGGGGATGTCGGGGTTAGGGCTGTGGGTTTGGTGACTCTGGCGTTGGAACCGAAGGAGAGGGTGGATTGGTTTGCGGTGGAGGGGTTGCCGGTGCGGCGGCGGGTGGGGGGCATTTTGTTGATAGCGTTATAGTCCTGGGGTTGTTTGAGGGCAGTTGTAGTGTCTCTTAGTGTACGGATTAGCACTGTTTGTAATGGATAATGATAACTGGAGAGAGGTAGATGAGTTCGTCCAGATCGGGTTGTGGGGAAACGATGTCATTGGGGTTGTTGCGCCGGCAACGGCAACTACAGTGGCCGATTATGGGACCTAGATATGGAAAGCCAGCAACATATTACCTTTATGGCTTCGTTTTTCTAGCTAGACTTTATGCAATCAAGAAGGCTGCAATAGTTTTCAACTATGTTATTTCTCGCAGAGAGTTTCGTCAACGGTCCCGGTACAGAATATATACAACGCACCCCTAGAGGTAGATATGAATACAAACACAAATTAAGAGCTATGGTATTACACATGTCTAATTGACTTGTAGACACTGGATGAATATCAACAGGAATATGGCATCTTCAATAGATGCAACCCACACATATCATCACATACACAAGGGCATTAAGATAGAATCCCATGTAGTAATCCCCTTAAGATCCAATGTGACCTCCCCAAGCAAGCAAACACCCTCCGGTTATTTATTCCCTTCCACCAAAAAATAACACAAAACGGGCTTTCCACAAATGGATATCACAAATAGATACCATGCGATAGAACTCCGAAACTTATGCAATCGTTAAATAAGAACAATAAGATGCCATGCCCGGCGCGTGTCGGGGAGCCAGTGTTCATGCTCCTATAGTAGGAGACCAGCTTATATGGCGGTGTTTGGAGCTCTCTGCGTCGGTTGTTACCATGCAGGTATGCAGAGCAAAAGCGACTTCTTTTGCTTATAAAAAGATAGTGACATTCGATAATCATCAATCGATTAATGGTTTCTTTTGATTCCCAACAATAGCCACGCCTAGTTGGCCGAGAGCGTGAGGATCCCCGGGACGCACGATGGAAGGTAACGGTAACATGGGATTATCGGGATTGACATGGACTGCATCGCGTGCGGCCTGTTCGATGGATTCCATTTCTTCTTTGCAGCCAGCGTGGTCGAGAGGGCAGACTACAATTGGCTGCCGGATGAGGATGTCTCGTGCGGATGTTAAATGAGCCTACGGAAGAGTAACTTGGTCAATGTCTCGTTACATGAATCCAGTCTCTGGAAATGCATTCCGGGGTCTTACCTTTATCGTCAGGTAGTATTCAATCTTGTAAAGGCTTGCAGTGGTGGTAAATCCGGTAAGCGCGTATGTTGGAAAGGCCGTTTTCCCTCGAGGCAACATGCCATCAGAGTCTCGCATGTCTCTGGCTGGAAACACCAAGCCTAGGTTGGTCAAGAAGCCGGTCGGGGGCAGCTTCACGCCAATGGTCTCGGTTTTCTTCGTCAACATCTTGACTTTCCGCTGTGGCTCGTCTCCCTCATGATTATAGATGATCTCTTCTTCAATTCCGATGGTGATCTTGTTGATTGTCACCTTTTTCGCCTTTCCCATCCAGCTTGGATTCGGTGCCAATTTCACGTATACGCTCACTGGGTCCAAGGGCCCGTACGACCACCGCGGTAATGAAATCCCCAAGGTCACCAAGTGATCCGACACTCGCTCTGCCGATTCGGGGCGATTGTACATGCCAAATGTCGAAAGGGTATCATAACGCTCGAGCGGTACGGGGAACGAATATTTCCTCTGATCCGAATGACCCTGTTGTACCATCACCACCATCTCGTAGAATGTCTCCGCGGTCCGACTGGGAAGTTGTAAACTGGCGGCGGGGACTCGTCTCGATGCGTCTGCGCTTCCACGTCCAAACGGTATGAATAGCACAAAGGGCAAATCCATTGCGATAACCTCCTCGTATTCTCGACCCGCCGGGCAGCGAAACAGTAGCATTTCCTTGCCCACAACGTCGTTAATCTCTTTCCGCGGCGGGGCCAGACGTTTCTTGGTGACCGAATCGGCGGACGGGTGGATGGATTCGCGACGGTGAAGCGATATGGTGACAAGGGATACGTTGACTGGCGCTGTGATGCCGACACTCGGTCTGATCTCGACTTTTCCTTCGATACGAGGCTGAATGCCGGGAGGGGTTAGTGACACGCTCTCTTGCCCGCAATCCCACCGGGGAACCATGAGACGTACCATAGTCGCAGATATTCCTGGATAACCGATTAGAAAATTGCCGTTCGGCGGGCCAGAAACTCGCACGAAGGCGGCCATATTGAGAGCGCTGCTGCTGCACCACCATGGGCACGCAGCTGCGGAGAGGAGGACGAAGGATGCGCCCCGGGGGGTTGACGGCGATGCGGATTGGAACTCAAGCACTCGGGGACAGTTGAGAAGTTCATAAAGGCCGTACGGAAGAAAGGAAAAGAAAAAGGGGGAAGTATTCAGGGAGAAAGCGCTACAAGAGCGCTGATGCCCGCTGGACTTGCGATGACGCAGTGTTTGGCTGTGCCAGGGGCCGAACGCGGAATTGAAACGAGGACAGCAAACTGTCAGATCAGACGCAGGCAATAGCTGAAGAATACCCCACTGGCAGAGGAATCCCGGAAAACAGTGACAGGCGCAGGAGCCAACTAGAGTGAGAGAATGCCGGGTGTTGGACGAGGAGTTAGTGCAGAAAGGCGGCTGGTCTGCGTTTGTCTATAGATGAGGCTCTCCGAAGAAGCGGGGAGTCTTTGTCTTCATTCCAACCCGTGTTTTTCCATACTATACAGCTGTACTAAGTGCACAAATATTCTATATTCTTGCGGATTTTATCATTCAACCCCTGAGCAATATTCAATTATTGTTCTATTGACTCGTCTTGCGGCCCAAGACCGGCTTCAGCTCGGACTTGGCGAGTAATGCACCACTCGTCAATCGATCTTGAATTGGCCTGCTTTGCTTATTTTAACTTCTGGTTATACAAGGGACGCTCAAATGACAACCAAGCATATGACTAACAGATAACGCTACTCAATTGGGCCGTGTCAGACCTGAACATCAACACGGGAAGCATACACTTTACGAGCGAACTCGGAAGCGTTGAGGGCTGTCAGGAAACTGGGCATGAAAAGGTCTATTCCCTAGAGCACCAGATATAGATACTCTTCATATATATATCCTATATACTTGCTATGTGGGATACCACGAAACGACTGACACACAAGGACAGCGTGGCCTAGATATATAACAGAGCCACATCATGCTACGACGTTATAACCTCCTACCATCAAACAACGAATTCCTCAAACCGGAGGTTCCAAGCGTATTACCCGACGGGTGATTGACCATACCCTGACCACCAACCTGAAAACCAAGGTTCTCTCGACTTATAGGGCCATGGTTAGGGACCGGAAAGTATCCACTAGGAGCAGGTGCTTGACTAGTCGGAATACCGCCATGAAACCGTTCAAACATTGCGCTGTCCTGCGGTAGACTAGATAATGTTGTTGAAGGACGTACGGAACCTGGCACGGAGCCTGGACCTGGGAGACGTGTTCGATGTTGGGGTGTTGCGGCGGATACGCTGGGTATGTTTGCGACGGCTGCGTTCACCAATTAGTAACGCTCATTGAATGACAGGAAATAGACGAATCAAGACTTACCTGGCCTGGGTGGTCCCATTGGACGGCCTGGCGGTGGCATCGTCACGATATCATCTCTTTTCCGTCCCTTGGAACTACCAGTGCCGCTCCGTTGGTATCGATGGAGTTGTTCAACCCCTTCTTGATTGACAGGGTAATTGCCATATTGTTTCGACGACGGAGTCTGAGGGTCCCGAGCCATGCTCATAGGTCTATTCGAGGCTGAGGTTGACACTTCGTTTCGTGAGCCAAGCGAGTTCAGTACCTGGGATACCGAGTCCGACGCAGCTGTTTGCATTTGGGATTTCATTGCTCGCGACTTCAAGAGGTTGTAGAGATTCGTGATCTGAGTGAACTTTTTGGACTTGTCGCGGTACATCTCAAATAGCTCTTGATTCTTCTTTTGGAGTTGTTCTTGGGACGCTTGCATGTCTAGAGTTGTTTAGATTAACAGCGATCTCTCGACACCAGTTACTAAAATGGAAAGAGACCAACCTGAAAGTCTAACCTGGAGAGTCGAGATCTCAGAATTGGCATTATGGATCACCTTATCCATCTGCTTATTCAAAGTCGTGTACTTATCCGTAAGCGTCTTCCCAAGGAACTCCTGATAGAAACTGTCACTCGTCAGTTATGAATTCTTCAAACCCAACCCTGTAGACACCACACACATCTCTTGAGTCGTCTGATACGCCCAGAAAACCAACGCCCGACCTGCACACTCCATTATAGTATTCGGATCGAGTCCACTGAGTATGCTGGTTTTGTAGTCCTCCGTCGGGTTCAAGATGGTCGAGACCGCGTCGTCTGGGTTGAGGAGGGTGGATTGACATGCTGGACAATGGCGACCACCGGAGGTAGATTGCGAGAGGCCAAGTTTATCTGCGCAGTGAAGACAGAAGATGTGTCTAGAGGGTCAGTCTGGGGGGAAGGGCTCAGTAGACGATGGCTGACTTACGAACAGGTCGTGACAACTGCTCTCTCTTTCAGTTGAGTGCGACACTTGAGTGAATTGCACCTGAGATAGAAATCCATTGCTGCTGATTAACTTGGCGTAGCCTTTGATGTCCTGCGATGATGGGAGATGTAGGAAGAAGAAAGCGGGAGAGTGGTGAAGCTCTAGACGACCCAAACCATTACGGGATATCGTGACAGATACGGAATAGGTACAAATTCGCTCCGATTGAACAACTGTATTGACTAAATCATTCGTAGTATATTCTTGAAATAAACCAAACCTGTCCAAGCAATGAGTCTATATGCCCTAAACCGTACCAAGACCTTAAATTAATCAAAAGAAGAATATATTCCCCTGAGCATCGCGCCTTGTCGAGGTCATCTTCTCTTCAAACTCTTCCCCTGGTTCATACTCATGCCATAAACTGGCAGGGAAGATATGCTTATTCCGCTCATACCATCGCCTATCAACAACCTTTGTCAACATGGGGTCTTTATCAGCGCCTTCCAGTTGCTCATCACTTGGTCGTGATAAAGGATCGTCAGTCTCCGGGGCTGGGGCTGGTTTATTGGAGTAGTCGAACAGTAACCCGCCGGACTTTGATAAGTTAGGTACTCGATTGGCGATGAAGTAGTACAACTCGTAATGCTAGAATCAAGTTAGCAAAGCCCCCTTTGAACCATGCCATTTCGCGATGGAATCACTTACATGGGGTACAATTATCTCTCCCTTCACTAGCATCAAGTCGTCGACGCTGACCCTTGCCCATTCACGGCGACCTTTGGCTGCTCCTTTCCAAGCTCCTTTCCCACCCACTCCCAACTCGGCCCCAACCTTTCGACACCGGTCCAGAAATAACCATACCGGATCTCCTTTTTTAACCCTCACGGAGCCAGCGGGAATATTCGTGCCATCGTAGAAAATAAAGGGTATAAGTATCTCCGTATGCTTGACAGCCTCCTGCATCGCCAGAAATTCTTTTCGAAGAGCGTCCCGAGTCTGCGCCTCTGCTTCCAACGCAGCCTTTGTCATTGCTTTCGGAGGCGGTGGTGCGTTCGGATTTGGCGCAATTCGTCGCGACTCTTCTACAGGCGTTTTCGAGACCGATCGCGATGGCTGCGGCGTAGCAACGGAGTCATCCCCGGTATCATCATTCTCATCGTCGGCGAAAGATAGCTTGCTTTTCGCTAACTGCTTCTTTTTCTTCTTCTTCGGAGGTGCCTCGGACGGCGAAGCACTGTCTTTGCGATTAGTGAACCGGTACGAGGGTGAACGGGACGAAATGGTAGCCTTGGACTCACCCGTCAGTCACATCACTTGCGGAAGGAGTTGCGCTTCTTGAATTACCAGATGTCACTCTCCCCAATGATTTGTCATGCGCCTCCCGTTCTTTCTGCTCCAGGACCTCTGCGCGACGTTTGCGAAAGTCGGAAAGATGGACGAGACCAACGGTCTGCGACTTGAGCAGTTCTTCCGCGGACGCGGTTTGGCTGGTGAACGACCGACCAGCCGATGACTGGTTCTGTTGTTCTGTTGGCGGCATGTTATCGGGATTGTATTATGCCAAAATCATTCCAAGAAGAAATTTTGAGGTGTTGAGGAGAAAGTTGTCGCATTCGACTTGACGTATCTCCGGTGGCAACACGTGACCTCCGAAGCTTTCAAGACTGATCACTCCGTTGCTCTCCCCTGGTCAGCCCCTTCAATCCTCGTCTTGCTTTCTGGTGTTCCTGGGAGTCCAGGTCAGGAGATGACTCGCCTTACTCTTCCAACTTCCCGTCAATCGACTCGATTCCTTCAACTTGCATGAGAAATTCAGCGCCTCATCTCTACGTTATATCATACGTTCTCTCGCCAATTCGCCAGATCTCTATCTTAATGATGCAGTATCAGCCGCTGGAAATTATCCCGATTACCCTGAGGAAGTCGCTCTTTATCCTTCCTCCCGAGTTAGTAATACTCCCTCCATGACTGGCTTAGAAGGCCCTGGGACGACGAGAGTCTTCGATGTCTCCGAGGACGATCGTACCAGATAAAGCGACGGGGAGTATCACAGAAACTCTCCTCCAAACGAAAGGAAGCGAACTTTGGAAGATTCGAACATATCCTCTCCAAAACGACGCCGGTACCGGACTTCTACCGTTACAAATGCGAGCAAGCCATGAGGAAGACGAACACGTCAATTAGGAGCCGGAGACTCATCAATTGAAAACACAGAGGGCTATTCCGCTAGCATTCTCGCAGGGCTTAGGAATGCGTTCGGATATCTGAAGCGCGCTTACATGTGGCCGGTACTGAGACCAAGTTTTCCGACTACCTCGCTGGTGCAGAGTTTCCCAAAATCTCGCAGTGCGTCAGCTTGCAACAAAAACGCTACAACACACATACGATATCATCGCAACAAGCACCATAGCAATGGAAAATTCAGTGCAAGAGGCTACGACTGTACAACCACGGCCAAGCATTATGCGCAGGAAGTGGACCGTCGAAGATGAGCGTCGACTGTTGAGGTTGAGAGACTCAAAAGCTGTCATGGAGTAGTATTCGCGATTCGTTCCCCGAAAGGACTCTGAATGCACTCAGAAACCGATACTTTCGGGAATCTTCCAAGCAGTCTGAACCTCTTTCAAGCACCAGGAATACAGTTTAAGCCTTTAGAAGCCAATCGAATGCACCCAGGAAGCTAATAATAACTCCCGGGAACCATCGTTTCTTTCCAGCATTTCAGTGATCTTCAATTTCTCCGCTCTATTTCCTTGTTTTCTTTACACACACACGCACCCTCGACTGCGTATGATTCCTTGCGCCCCAGACTCTTCCTCAGCCAACCCGCAGAAGTTCTACAGAGATTATTATGTGAAATTATCCACAATCATAGTTTTTATATGATAGAAGTATTTTCCATAGGTCGAGAGGATGGCTAGAACTTTCGGGACGTATAAAAAAATCATGGGGCAGTTTCTCATTTAGGATTTGTTCAACTCTTCTTCGGAAACATGATCCAACCTGTGCTCCCCTTGGGCACTTTGCCCCTGGTATTTAATGGCTGTGACGGTCAACATTTAATGGTTAACAGCTGATTACCAACTGCCAATGCTGGCAAACACTGCACTTGGAGTGGGAACTATCCCTATAATCTTGTAAGAAAGAACTGATGGAAATTCATGGAAACTGTTTGAGGCTGTCATTGAATCACAGAATAACAATGAGAGGGCAGTTGAACTTTTGCATGCAAATGGTGAATTGAATATGACTGTTTGAACATTACAAAATGACATTCATGTCCTCAAATGCAACATGCAGGATCTCAAAAGAGAAAATCTGCACCTGAAGAGTAAATGTGGAGACCCAGCATGAAGGGTATTTGGCCAAACTTGTGCTTTGGACATTTTTTTTCTTTTCATGTTTCTTCAATTTCAATTATAAAGACTTTATTTGTTGTTGGTTTTTTTTTTTTTTTTTTTTTTT